ATAGCATTTGAACAAAGAATTATTTTCAGTTTCTACTCTTGCGTTTTTCTCACAAGGAAAGACTGCAAATGTGAAGAAATACAGCATGACTAAGGAAGTGCGCAGCAAATATTCACTGCACAGCAACTTATATGCGTTTTCATTAGTCAGATGAGGAGCTTCCCATCTTCTGCCTCTTGTCTGTGTCTGCATATTAATCAAGTATGTGAAATATGCATACGAGAAGTAACCATTTATACTCTAGCACTTACAGCTTTAATTGTAAATTTGATGTATAATAGTTCGAACCATTTTTTTTCATGAGCTGTGCTCATAATTTGTTCATTGTATTATTTCCAATCCATTTTCCACAGCTGCAATCTGAATAAGTGGCTCAATTATAGTTAGTTTTATTCTTTAATATCCACTGTGCGTCATGAAAAATTTTGAAAGAAATATTCTGTTTAAAGACAATTATGCTTAAATATCATGGCTTTCTAAAGATATTTGCATGAAAACAAATGCACGAAGAACTAATTTTCCTCTTCCATACTCTTATCTGGAGTAATAATTCTCCTGCTGACATCGTAATCAACTGTTGTATGATATGTCAGAACAGTTAAGGGTGACCAGAGTTTCCTGGCTTGAACACACAAATAAGTAGCATGGCCTGAAACCCAGCCATAGCCCTTGTTTTGCTTCTCAAAATTTGATAGTTCTGTTTTAGGAATCATTAAAAAAAAAAATTATGTGAATAGATATCCTGAAAATATGTAAATTGAAGAACACTTGCTGATATAGTCTGCTTTTAAAAATATCCATACTGAAACAAGTTCAGGCTTATATTAAAAAACTTATTTGTACAATTTTCTTTTTTTTTCCCAGAAATTTTTTTTTTTTTCCAGTGGCAATCTTGATCCTAGGAAATTATACCTTTTGACATATTTGTTCAGTAGGTCTTCTGGTTCAGAACTTGTCAAAATACAGACAGCTTACAAACCACGTTTATTTCTCCTTTGCACTGTTCTTTTCCATTGCACTTAGAAGTATGGTCCTGAAGGCAGAATTTTCTCGCAAACCTTAGATGCCCATAATGCTGCCATTGCGTAACTGCTGCTCTGCTGTACTGGTGAAACATATCACGCTACCACCCCACTACGTGCTTGTTTGAAGAGTGGAAACTTAACCAGAAAGAGCACACAGAAGTTGCTGTGTGGAATCAATTGAATGCAAATGAAATGTCTGATCTTCAGCTTTTGGCATATTATTCCTGTCTATACTCCTATTTTATCAAATTGCACTTCCCATTTTTTAAGATTAGCAGAGCTTGAAAGTCACAGTTTATAGAATTGTCATCCTGATAAATCGTAGAGATTAATGCTTTCATCCAAATTATGCATTCTTTTTAGGATGATAACATTACATAATAATAGGGGCAGATTTCCAAAGTCTTGATCAACAAAATGATCCCAGAAAGGCTTCTTAAATAATTCATTTCCGTCTATCAAGGCTGACACGAGGCAGCATTACTGAACAGCCTCCTTTTGACAGGATAGTCCAGTAGTACAGTTCTTATTCATTGCTTGGCTACTGGCACAGGAACATTTGTGGGCATGTATCCAGGTCCCCAGGAAACTTGGAATCATTCCATGTTAAAGAACTGTAACTGTGGCTAACAAACCAGCTGCTGTATTGAGCTCAGAAGCAAGTCTTTGTAGCTGTGTGGAAGGAACTTCAGTTATTTGCATAACATCCAGCAGCCTTAGTGGGAAGGGTTGGCAGGAGCACGACAGCAGGCTTGGCATCCACCTTTTCTTTCCTGACCATGTCTGTCAATGATTCCATTCTTAAAGGCTAAGATAAGATGAAAAGAGAGTGAAGAACTTTACCAAAAGGACTGTACAGGTCCGAAGAGACGGGTACTTGTGATTATATTGACAGCCTTCTTTGTGGAAGTAACAGTTTGTTAAATTCAGCAAACAAAATCAGTTTGTAATAAATAATACCAAAATCTATAGGGGAATGTTTGTGAAATTCTTGCTATGGAGAGAGAAAACTGGGTTGATAATAAATGGGGGTAGCATGCATTTGCTGTTCTTTTCTTCTGCCTCCCATCCCATTATCCCAAATTTAATTTCAGTTTGGTTTATGTTCCTTGTGCAGTTCACTACTTTTGCAAAAATGCTTATGACAGAAAAAAGGTTAACACGAGGGAAGAATGGAATGGAGTTTTTGCAGGATAGCCTTTAGTAACCTTGTATGGCTTTTCCTATTTTGTAAGAGATCCATTTTTTATTTTAAAAATGGATATAGTAACATTCTATGAATGAGTTTTATGCAGGAAAAGGTAATAAGGCTAGAAGATGTGATTGACCATAATTTCAAAGAAAATTTATTTAGTTTTCAATAAGAATATCTTGATATGTCAAATAAACCTTTCTGTATTCCCACTATTTTCTTGGCAGAAACAGAAAAGACTTCTGGAATAGTCTTGTTTTCCTTCAATATTTTTATCTGGCAATGTTTCTCACACTTCTGTGGTTTTATAAAGAATACTCTTAAGAGATGATAAAAAAGTTGTCATCTGTTCGTGTTAATGAGTATCCCACAAAAGTTTTCTTGTGTTTCACCTTTGTAATATTACTCGTGCCCCCAAAATACTAAGCATATTGATGTACCTGAGAGCAGCCCTGTGGAGAAGGACTTTGGGGTGTTGGTGGATGAAAATTTCAGCGTGAGCCACCAGTGCCCGCTTGTAGCCCAGAGGCCATTGGCATCAAAACAAGTGTGACCAGCAGATCGAGGGAAATGATTCTGCCTCTTGGCTCTGCTCTGGTGAGACCTCACATGGAGAACTGCATCCAGCTCTGGGGTCACCAACACAAGAAGGACATGAACCTGTTGGAGCAGGTCCAGAGGAGGGTCACAAATTATCAGAGGCTGGAGTGCCTCTTCTACCAAGACAGGCTGCGAGAACTGAAGTTACTCTCCCTGGAGAGGGGAACGCTCCGGAGAGACCGTCTTGCAGCCTTCCAGTACTTAAAGGGAGGGGGCTTATGAGAAAGATGGGAACAAACTTTTTAGTAGAGCTTGTTGCAATAGAACAAGGGGTAATGATTTCAAACTGAGAGTAGATTTAGATTGGATATTAGGCCGAAATTCTTTTCTGTAAGGAACCGAAAACTTTAAGTGGCACCATTGGCCATAAGAGAGGAATTCTGAGGAATTTGTATGTAGTGAAAGTATGCTGTACCAGTCATGTAGAAGCCGTGTCTAACTTGTGTTTATTATTATTAATCCATTATGGTGGAAGAGTCCTAAAGTTTGCTGTTTCAAACGCAACTTTGTGTTGATTTCTGACAAGCAGAAAAAGTAATTTGAGAGATTTTACTTTATAATATTCCTACCCCCAACTTTGGTGTTGTTGTTGAGTATTTTTATGGCATTAAGTGTAGAGAAAAAACACACTCGCCTGAGCATCTCTTAATAGCTCATATCTTCACTGAAGTAAGGGGAGAATTCATATTCCAGGCTAATTCAACCTGACATTTTTTTTAACTATTGTATATTCTGCTTATTTGTGACATTTTAAAAGATCATGTTGGCATTTTTTTTTGTTCAAGGAACAAATCTTAAAAGGAAGTACATAACGTTCTGTCTTTTTTCTTATTTTAGCCTAGTTTTATGCAGTGGTTTAAAGGATTGTCTCCACCTGCAAATGAATATTTACAGCATGAGGCATTTTCGTTCTTAAGGCCAGTAAAGCTACTGAAAAATATTTTTATATCCTAATAATTATAATTTTGCAATAAATGTAAGACTTACCAATAGGGCTACTATGTTTTCTTGTTTGTGCAAGAGAACAAATGTGTTCCTTAGTACAGTAACTGAGTTAACAGCCTAGGTTTCCAACCAGAGGAATACACTGTAAGAGAAACAACTATAACTGTTTTACTCCAGATAAAAGGCATGTAAGTAAATCTCGTGTTGGGGAGGAGAGAGAGGTCAACACAACAAAATACATTTATTCACTGAATTAATCGTAGTGGAGAGATTACTTACCTTTAAAGTGTTCTTTTAAATGGGACAAAACACTTTGTCTAAGATCCTATCTGTTTCATATATTTTACTTGCATTTTCTACCAGTCTTGACCTAGTAACTCCTGTGTGTATTAGGCAATTTCAAACAAATTTGAAAAAGGTGTCTCGGAGGTGGCTGTATTCATAGAATCATAGAACGATTTGGATTGGAAGGGACCTTAAAGATCATCCAGTTCCAACCTCCCTGCCATGGCAGAGACACCTCCCACTAGATCAGGTTGCTCAAGGCTCCATCCAGCCTGGCCTTGAACACTGCCATCGATGGAGCATCCACAACTTCCCTGGGCAACCTGTTCCAGTAGCTTGTCACACTCAGGGTAAAGAGCTTCTCCTTTATATCTAGTCTAAATCTATGCTCTTCCAGCTCCCACCCACTACCCTTTCTCCTATCACTACAGGCCTTTGTGAAAAGCCCCTTCCCAGCCTTCTTGTAAGCCCTCTTCAGGTTCTTTCATGTTATGTAAAAACACCCAGTGATTAGACAGAGAATAAGCATCCAAATTGCTGTCAGCATTGAAGGAAATGCAGAGAGAATTGTATGTGGCTATTCTGCTTGGCAGAACCTGGTCTGATGTGTAGTCTGTGTGTACTGGTTAGCCCATGAGAGAGATGCAGGTTCAGACTGCTCACAGCCTGTGGGCATTGTATGGGAAACTGGGATTTGTTGCATTTGTTGGATTTAAAGGAGGCAGAGTATAGGAAACCATAGAAAGCAACTCCCCTTAGTTCCAGTTTCATGGGGTGTTGTGAATGTACAAGCAACATTGGAACCTGACTGTTATTGACTATAAGCATTTTAATATACTTTTTTTTCCCCCTTTTTTTTTATGAACAGATAAAAGAAGTTTGTCTGGATTAATACTGAACGGAATGCATCTGAACTGAAGGAAATCTTTTCAGATTGTTCTTCTGACAGAAGTTGTACAGAAATGTTACACTGAAGTTTCTACTTGCCCTTCTGCGAAGACTTTAACTGTATTTTTATATTGCAGTTTATTAGCCTATAAAAGACAATGTAACAACAAAAGTAATAGCGATTTGATGCAATAGTAGCAGTTCCCCCTCCTACTGACTGGACATGAGTGATCAAAGGTCTTTGCAAGAAGATAAGCACAAAGCTGGCAGAACTTCCTCGAAGTTCAGGGAGGCTTCAAGAAGCATGCAATCTGATGATTATTTTGCTAGAAAACTTAAAGCTTTGAATGGTAGTATGGGTCCTCCTGTTTCTTCAAATGCATCTAGCAAAACTGAAAATAATCAAACAAATGGTACACCGGCTGTGCCTAAGATGGGTGTTCGAGCAAGGGTATCTGAATGGCCTCCTAAAAAGGATTGCTCTAAAGAGCTGAGTAAAGCTGCTTGGGAAAACAGACCTCCGACCGGTTATGAAAGCATTGGCTCAGTACTTCCAAATGGACAAAACGACCAAAGTGATGGACAGCAAGAAGAGCTAGAATTGGAATTTACAGAGGGAAAATATTCGATTGGAGATCTTTTTGTTCATTCCCCTCAAAGGGGCCTTCACCCCATAAGGCAAAGAAGCAACAGTGATGTGACAATAAGTGATATTGATGCTGAAGATGTGTTAGACCAGAATGCTGTTAACCCAAATACTGGCGCAGCTCTGCATAGAGAATATGGCAGTACCTCTTCAATTGACAGACAAGGCTTGTCTGGAGAAAATTTTTTTGCTATGCTAAGAGGATACAGAGTGGAAAATATTGAACATAAAACCCTCGCTCCTTTTGGATTTTCTGAGTTTTTCCACTGTGACCCTACAGTTTCTCCAAGTCTACATGCTGCTGCACAGATCTCTAGGGGAGAATTTGTCAGGATTTCTGGCTTGGATTATATGGATAGTGCCCTGCTTATTGGTCGAGATAGGGAGAAATCTTTCAAGAGGAGACTAAAATCAGAAGCAGTAGAAACATCTCTATTTAGAAAATTGCGAACAGTTAAAAGTGAGCATGAAACTTTTAAGTTTTCGTCTGAGCTGGATGATAGACTCGACAGAAATGTCCGTTCTTGGAACTGTCAGAAATGTTTTGCACATTATGATGTTCAGAGCGTTTTGTTTAACATAAATGAAGCAATGGCTACCAGAGTAAATGTAGGAAAAAGAAAAAATATAACCACTGGGGCTTCAGCTGCATCTCAAACTCAGATGCCAGCAGGCCAAACAGGAAACTGTGAGTCTCCTTTGGGAAGCAAAGAGGACCTCAATTCAAAAGAGAATTTAGATGCTGATGAGGGTGATGGGAAAAGCAATGATTTAGTATTGAGTTGCCCTTACTTCAGGAACGAAACTGGTGGGGAAGGAGATAGACGGATTGCACTTTCTAGGGCAAATTCAGCATCTTTTTCTTCGGGTGAAAGTTGTTCTTTTGAGTCCTCTCTGAGTTCCCATTGCACAAATGCTGGTGTTTCAGTACTGGAAGTACCGAGAGAAAACCAGTCCATTCACAGAGAGAAAGTGAAGCGTTACATCATAGAACACATTGATCTTGGAGCATATTATTACCGCAAGTTCTTCTATGGAAAAGGTAAATTCTTCTAATGCAAGTGTTCTGAGATATTCATGCTTTAGATTTAAGTTGCTTAGTAAAGCTTATTTTTTCCCTCCTTCTTCTTTATAGAGAGACGTAAGTATTATAGAGGATCCTGAAACTCTTTACTAAAATTAAGCCTGTTATTCTTGCTCTCTCTAAGGGATATTCAGCAACCTGTGGGCTATGCATAAAGTTATGCAGTAGTTCACCAAGTGTGGGATCAATTAAAGTAGTACATAAACTAACTTCTCTGAACCAAACTTTCTCAGTGGGCAGGAAGAAAGGATGGCATTTATATATAGAAAATGCATGGTAAATATTGATACCCATCATCTGTTCCTAAAAGGTACTTCTAAAAAAGATGGGTTTATTATTGAGGCTTCTGACTCCTTTCTAGGTTCTGCTGTCTTCAGCTGTCTCCTGGGGCCTTTCATGCTGTATGTACATATACATACTCCCTTAAACAGAGAGCTTCTGACGTTGTTTAGTTTTTTAGCTTAAAGACGGTTGTTTTATACCTTTCTCCTAGACTTTTATCCTCTTCTTTTAGTATATGTTCACACTCTGAGGTGACAGGATGCTCTTCTCAGCAGAGTAATTATCTTGGCTTGAATTGTTACTCAGATTAACTGTTTCCACTTAGTGATCTACTTTGGCTGTCTGTATTGGTTAATGCATTATGCAATGTGTGTGAAATCTCTGTTTTTGTGGGGAGACATCCAAAATACTTGTCTCTGACCATTCCGTATTATGAACTACAGCTCAATATTTTTGCTGTGATTAAAAGAAAAAAAATCTGTTTCTGTCCTCAAAAGACTATTTGTTGCTGCCCAAGTCTTCTTGCTGCCTTCTAACTTAATCTGAACATCAGGAAATAAGCACTATACTGTACTCCTTTGTCCCATAACCCTATACAAGGGACTCGAAAGAGAATACGGTACAGTGCTTGTTCACAATAGGCACCTAGAACATACTGACTGTGAAAGGTGAGGAAGAGAAGAATCTGGATCTGTCATGGAAGAGGAAGAAAAGAGACCTAAGCAAGGAATGGGCAGTAAATTCAGAGGTTCAAAATGGTTTTTAAGCTAGGCTGATTATAAAGGATAAAAAAATGTTGAGGGGAGTCAGACTGGAAGAGAATGAAGGGAAACTTGTGACAAAAGGTTAGGAGTTTTGAGAGGCAGAGAGGAGGAAGGACTGGCACAGCTGGAAACAAAAGGAAGGTTGTCAGTGGACAAAGGTGCTAGCAGGATAAGGAGAGGAGTGGAAAAAGGACAAAGATTAAGCCAAATGAGAGAAGACTTATTTGTGAGATGCTTTTACTGTGGATGAGTCATGTTTTTTGTGAAGAGAAATCTTGTCAGAGAAATTAAAAAAAGAAATGTAAGGAGTACTCAAAAGCACTTGAAATAATATACTATAAACAGACCTAATGACCCCTTTTTCAAAGTTGATGTGAATGCAATTAGTTTTAATTAACCTCTGTTGTGGTTTTGTGTATATATGATCTCTTGACCAAGAGTAAAGTATGTTTATATTGATACAGTATTGAAAAGTTAAGTAATTGTATCTGAGAGTTTTATCCCATGTAGTGTAAGACTAGGAAACTTGAATTGTTATTGTCCTTGTTACTAATTGTTTTGTAAGTAGTGTTCTTCAAAAGTAAATATAATGTGATGCATTTAATATCCAGTAATGAATTATTACCCTCTCACCTTTACAACAATAGATAAGCCATCCCCTGTTCCACATTGTGCTTCTATAGAGCTGTCACAGAAGCTACATGAGAGCAATCTATATTGGGTGGCTTTTATGAGACATATAGCAAGTCAGGGCAAACATGTTGATGGAGCTAAAAACTTGATTTTCAATACCTGTTATTTTAAGCGATCAAGCATGGAAGGATTTCTAGATTATTTCCATCTGGACACACCTGAGTTCTCACCTAAACAAAGTTTATTGTGGGCAGAGGAAATATAATAGACATTTTGCCTTAGGCAGCAAAATGTCTTGCTGCTGTGCTGATCTCCCATATAATAAAAAGTTACATTTATATGCATACTGAGTCTTGATGCTCTTCCATGACAGTGAGCTCTCCTAGCTGATTGTTCATTGAATTGTAGATTTAATAGCACAGTTGAATTTAGCAAAATGATTGTGGAAGGATGAAATAAAAATTTAGCAAACAATAGTCACTTTTATATAGAGACATATGTAATGCCACTGATTTTCTTTGCTTTTTAACAAGATATCTATGAAAAAGAAATAACTCTGAATATTTTATTTAGTTCACAGTTTTATAATTGGCACTTGTCAGCGTACAAGTTTTATTTCTGTTTTAAGATGCATGGAAGAAACACCCTGGCATGTGTAGCACTAATTATTCCATTCCCTTTCAAGAAACGAGAGATTTGGAATTCAGTGTCTTCTGAAATGAGCTGTGGTTTTATCCTGCATATTTATAAGCTTTGTAACTATTGTTAAAATCAAATCCAACACGACTGATGTGAAATATGTTAATGTTTGTGGAAAATATCATCTCAGTTTTCAGTTAAGATTTGTAAAAGCTAGAGTATCTTATTTTATCTCATGGTTTTGATTTATTAATGATGTCCTTTACTGAACTGTATTTTTATGGGATAAAAGAGGATGAGAAGGGAAAAAATGCAATGTTGATTTTTAATGAGAATAATTGAAATATCCTTTTGTTATCATTGATTTGTCCTTTTCCCCTTGTGCAATTATCCTCATAATACCTTGAGACTTGGCTATTATTACTATGTTTTTTATTGGAGGGATGCTTGCCACCATTTCTTTATGTGTTATTGTATCTGTCTGCTGATACGAAACTGAAAAAATGTCCTAGAAATGTACAGGCTTAGCAAGATTTTAGTATTAACTCGATTTTTTTTATAAATGACTTTTGTATTGGAAGAAAATTTGACAATTATTCCTCAAAATGAAAAAGTAAAAAATTATGACTATCTTAAAATCTCTTTCTAAACAGCTAGAAAATAACACTTATTCTTTCCAGCTGATACTTTTCAGTCAACAGAAATGCATTTAACTGAGCTTAATGAGTTTGTACTTTATGATTGATTGTAAAGTGCTTTGAATCAAAATTATTTTCCTCAAATCCCAGAATGTCAATACTGTGCTATTCTTTAAATTACTTCAGATTCTTTAATTCCCATTCTTGAAACTCTTTTACCTATTTTATTTTTAATGCACATAAATAACATCTTTGGTTTTGTCTTTCATGTTGTACAAACAATGAGCAGGTATCTGCCAAGCTTGCATTTTTCTGCTCAGTAATACTGCAGCCAAGAAATCTAATAACTATGTAATACCCCTTTTCTAGATTTACATCAAAATGGGAAGCTATAGAAACCCTAACTGAGAAGTTTACCTTTTGTTGAAGCTTGAATATGCACCTGTGGGGAGTTTTTCTGTTGATCCAAGTGTTTGGCCTCTGAACCTGTCTCTCCCCCTCCCATCCCTCTCTGTAAAATCCTCTTCGATTTGAAAAAAATTGCCCATTAAGGCTCAAAGCTTTAATTTAACACCGGGAAATCCATGAGGTATGCTTTATCCATGCAGGTAGAATGCTCAGGCTGGGGAAGGAATGTAGTTGGCAAGCATGAGCAAATAATTTAATGCTTGTGCCCCTTTGATCCCAGGTGTTGCTTTCCAAAGAAGAATGTTGTAATGTGCTGCTACTCATTTTCTCTCCACTGGGAGATGGACTGTAACCACCAGCATACTTTATAAATAGGTTTATTTGAAAGGCTACTGGAAACTCAATTTAAACTTGATTTGATTAATAAGACTGCCATTTATGGAGAGGGAACTTTTATCTTTTTGTATCAATTTTGAGAGTATGGATGACTTCTCAGTGAAAGACAATATGCAGAAACTTCCCAACACATTTCCCAACATTGCTAAAATAGAAAGGATCAAACTATCTCAGAAACACTAGCTAAGTGTTTTTTTTAATCCAAACAATCTACAAAGGAGAAATTACTCTATTACTTCATAGCTATTTAAAATATGGAATTATAGCATAAATTGGATTGGAAGACATTTCTGAAGGTCCTGCAATTATTTCCCCCTTAACCTGGTGTTCTTCGTGCTGCACAAGCCTATCTCCTTCAGCCTCTCCTCATCTGTTATATGCTCCGGTCTGTCTTGGTAATTGTCTGCTGGCCTTGTTCCACTCTGTCCAAAAGTGGGCCCTATTTCTTATGTGGCCTCAAAAGTGCCAAAAAGAGAGGCTTAAGGTCTTCTCCTGACCTGCTGGTGTGCTCTTGCTCGTGCAGCCCAGAGTGCGGTTAGCCTTCTTCTCTGCAGGGGGTTCTGCTGGCTGCTGTGCAGCCTCTTGCTCACCAGGGTCCCCAGGACTTTTCCACAGGGCAGCTCCTGAGGCTGTTGGTCCCTAAGTCTGTGCTGTTGTATGAACTTGTTCTGGTCTAGATGTCAGTCTGTGATTTTCATAAGATTTTCAAAAGTCTATTTGCTCAGATTGTCAAAAGGAGTGTTTGTTTTAATGTGTCAGGTTGAAAACGTCAGCGGATTAGGAGATGCTTCATGTGCAGCTCAGCAGAGAGTGGGCAGTAAAACACAGACACCCTATAGCAGCTCTAGGAGTCTACATGTGTGGATGAATTAACGTCCTTTGCCTGCTTTTGTAAAATACTGCAACGTGTATGCATTTCAGTATCTGCACTATGCACATATATTCATTTGGTAAAAGCCTGCCAGTTCTTCACCGTGGTCCATTGTACCTAACTACAGCCCTAACATCCAATACCGGAACTGTCCTCCTTGAGCTTGGTCACATACATGAACTTAATTGAGGATGCATTCCATTCTATCATTTAGATATTTAAAAAAAAATTATGAAACAATAACAGATTTTGATAAACCTTTTAGTAACTGGGGCCACTGATTGGAATTTTTGTTACTGATCACAGTCCTTTAAGGCCAGTGTTCCAGCCAGTTTCTTTCCATCTCGTAATTTGCACATCCAAACCATGTTTCAGTTTAGATGCACAGACGCTATGGAAGACTGTGTAAAAGGCATTGCTAAAGTACAAGTAGGTGACAGTGATTGCTCCTTCCTCATCTGTAAAGCCAGTCATTTCATTGTAGAAAGCAACTGGGTTGGTCATGCATGATTTGCATTTGGTAAATCTATGCAGGCTGTTTCCAAGCATCTTTTTGTCCTTCATGTGCCTGGAAATGTCTTCCATGAGAATTTGTTCCTTAATCTCCCTGGGAACTAAGGGTTATGGTGGCTAGTCTATAGCTTCCCAGACACACTTTTTAAAGATGAGTGTAACCCCTTGCTATGACCTTTCAAATATGATAAATGGCCTTACAGTGGTAGCAGCTAATTCCCTCAACATGTATCCTTTTTGGTCCCCTGGACTTGAGTGTGTCTAGTCTGCTTAAATGGTCTCATAATTTAGATCTTTCTCTTTTGCCAATAGTGTTTTATTCTCCTAGACTGCGCCAGTTGGCTTAAGGATGAATTTAATCATCAAAAACTGAAGAGTTCCTACCCTCAATTTTCACTTGTTAAAACTGAGATGCTACTTAAAGATGCTTTAAATAAGAATGAATGAAATGAAATGAAGGAAGCTAGGTAGCGCCTTTTTGTTTGAAGACTGTTAGCTTTTGTTAAAGACTTTATGTATAGTTTTTCCAAAGCAGTTTCTTACAGCGTCAAGCAAAATGATTCATTTTGTATTAACAAAAATGCAAAAAAAAAAAGTATTTCATAGTAGCAGTAGTTGCAGTAATTTGAGTTATGTGATATGAGTGACCATCAACTATGATACATCGTGCTCACAAAATTAGGAATTTTTGATTTATATACTAATTGTATCACAGCCAGTATGTTTACAAAACTCAAAGTTCAATTAAAACTTTTTTTTTTCTTGCTACAGAAATTTTTAATGAGATTTGATGAACATTTTATGGGAAACTCATATTTTATTGTTCTCTCTTTGTTCACTTTTGTGCAAAAGAGCATCAGAACTACTTTGGGATAGATGAAAATCTTGGACCCGTAGCAGTCAGCATCCGGAGGGAGAAGGTTGAAGATGCCAAGGAGAAAGAAGGATCTCAGTTCAACTATCGTATAGTTTTCAGGACAAGTGAGGTAACATTCTTTTAGTAATTTTGTGAGGGAGTTGAACAGTTAACTTAGAGCTTAGGGTACTAGTTGTTTGTCTGTGGATATGTTGCTAACTTTTAAAGTGAATCTGGTCGCAGGAAAGGGATGGTTCTTGTATTGTTACTAAATGCAGTTGCTCCTGGAACAAAGTTTTCTGTACTGCGTAAAATGTTTCTCTTCTTGAGCAGGCACCTAAAGGGTGGTGAGTTGGCTGAGGGGAACTGCTAGGACAGAGCAAACTTGCTTGTATGTTTGTATTTTGTTTCAAAATAGTTTCTTAGAAGCTTTCTTTTCTGAAATGTTTTTATGTACTTCTACATACATGATTTGTGGAAGGTATATTAATGTGTTGATAAAAATAGTCATCTCATTTGGAGGAGTAGCTCGCTTGTGATCATTGTGAAAGGACATGTATCATAACTTCCATTTCAAGTGAATTAGTATCTCTTGCAAACAAATTCCTTTATCACAGCAACTAGTTTTGATTTGTAGGAAAATGCACATTATTATTGCAGCAAGCAACTATAAATTTTCATAATCCTTATGCCTGTTGCTTTTTATGGTGATTAGAACATAAAGAAGCGTCAACTAGACCTCCTGATATATCTGGGCTTGTATGCTTATACAAACAAATACAGGAATAGATATATTAAATATATTTTTTAAACCAGTGTTTATTGGCAAAAAGGTGTCTTTGTATGTATGTGTAGAGAGGTTATTCAGCTGACTCATTTCTAAGAAATTACTCTCTTTTTGCCAAATCCAGTGAAGAAGGAGCAGCATGGTTTAAAAAACAAGTGGATGGTAAAATGAAGGTTCTGTAACTCTGGCTTATCTTACCTGACCAACCTCACATTCAACTACTGTGTCTGCTAGAGTAATATGGCATTAAAATTAACAATTTTTAATTTTCATTGTATTTTAAATTTTTTTTTAAAAAAAAAAGTAATAATCTTAGGAATTAGAAAGTTGATAAGATCATCAGTTAATTTCTTTAAACAAAAATATATTTGTCACTGAGACAATAAAAGTCTCTCGTTCTTCCATGCTTCTGCTAAAGCCTGAAGCTTGTATCTTTAAAATTCATTGTAGCATTAGAGCTAAAAACGTTTTATGTGGTTTACTTTTACTGCAGCTTACTACACTTAGAGGAGCAATTTTGGAAGATGCTATACCATCCACTGCTCGGCATGGCACGGCAAGAGGTCTACCTCTCAAAGAGGTACTGGAGTACGTTATACCAGAGCTGAGTATTCAGTGCCTGAGACAGGCTTCCAACTCACCCAAAGTACCTGAACAGCTGCTTAAACTCGATGAACAAGGGGTATGTAGCACATGACTATTAATTTAAAAAAAAAAACTTACATGGGCTAAAACTGTCTCTAAAATGACAGTAGAAGGTAGATGCAAATTGAATGGTTGAACTAGTTTGAGCAATTTTAGGCTGGACATTAGGAAGAAATTCTTCATGGAAAGAGTTCTCAGACACTGGAACAGACTGCCTAGGGAGGTGGTTGAGTCGCCATCCTTGGATGTGTTTAAGTGTCGTTTAGATGTGGTGTTGGGTGATATGGTTTAGGGGTGAACTTGTAGTGTAGGGTCAATGGTTGGACTCGATGATCCCAAGGGTCTTTTCCAACCTGAATTGTTCTATGATTCTATAAATAAAGAATCTGCATTTTCCCAGTTTATTCTGGCATATGATGATCAGCATTAGATTTGGCTGTAAATTTAAGAGAAAAGTCAACCTGGACAAGGATGTCTTTTGATGTTTTTTTTTTAACCTCTCTGTAATTCCCCCCTACTTCCGGCTCTCCATTTCTACTAATGGTTGTTTATTGTATATATGCTTTTTGGTTCCTCTCATGGCCCTCTGGGAATGTTCACTTCTCTCTAAAGCAAAGGCTGAAGTTTACAAAAAGCCCAAAGATATTAGGAGCTTTGATTGCAGTGATATATAGTGGCTATTAAGTGTCTAATCTCTTGAGATTCCTTGCCAGAAACGCTCTAAAATCTTCATGTGATGACAGTGAACAGGCTGTTGTTACATGATAAGGAATCTGTTCTGTACATGAAGATGACAAGATGCCAGGATTCAGTAGTGAGTGATTCTGAATAGTATATAGTAATTTTGAGTCAGGGTAGACTTTTATGCACCTTTAATTTGTATCATATACCCAAGTAGCTAAATGGGTTTAGAAATTATTTTCTGATGTCACATTATTAAAGTTCTTTACGTGTTATATTAAATGTAAAATTTCTAATTTAGAAATCATGAAATCAGAACCATGTCTGCAATTATTTATGCTTGAATTAGCATGCAATACCATTTCAAAACTGGCAGACTGTTTCACTTTTAGATATTCTGGCAGTTTTTCATGTCAGTTAAATGCGCCACATAAGAATATCCTGCCAAAGCTCATTTAATTATTTCTTTCTTAGGCATTGATATTCTAAAGGTATCTCAATTTCTACTTCTGCCCAGTCCACATGATCTTGCGTGAGAGTTCTTTTGCTTAATTTCATAGTGATGAGTGCTCCTAGCACACAGGTAGGAGGTTTATATTACTGCAAATGATCTTGCAGCTGGTGCCTTGTTTAGGAACAGTGATATTGGTAAAATTAAATTTGTAGATAACTGCCTAGTGTTTACAGAACTTGGCCATGAAGTGAAAACCCAGGATTAATTCCCTCCTCGGGCTGAAGAGTTTTGGATCCTCATCTTCAGTGTCTCCTAGGACAATGTTTAAACTGTGGGATGGGAAGTTGTTTTGGAAGATAGTATACTTCACTTCTGTTTGAAATTACATTGATATACGTGAACAAATTCAGGAATTACTGGTGCACTCAGAAATAATGAAGGAATGTGACTGCATATTGCTAGACTGAATATTTTGCCCAGGTGCTTCTTCACTGCTAGTTGTTGCCTCTCTTGTTGGTGGCTCAGTTAGCACTTAATTTTCCCACTCCTCAGTTCTAGTGGGAACTCAGAGAAATTTTCTAATGCCAATGTGGTTTAAGATAAACTATCTGGCACAGAGCTGGCATAGCAGCAGCAGTGTGCTCACAATCATTTTAGGTCTCTGCTGGGAAACGTCAGGTAACAGCACTGCTTCCTATAATCTAATGTTTGTATAACCAGTTCCCTTCCGGTTTCTTCCATGAAATGTTCATGTTAGCTTTCCACTGAATAAAATAGTCACGAGTGTGCAATCTGGAACCTTTTGTTAAATACCTTACCCTCTCCAGGCAGAGCTTCAAAATAAGGGATCAAGCAAGGAAGCACTCTGAATGGGTAGCGTCTAATGCCAGTCAAAAGAAAGTTACAAGAGCAAGCTGGTATCTTAACCCTGCCCTGCTCCAGAGTTCAGTGCTCTGACTCAAGCAGCTCTTACAGTGCATCTGTAACCCAGAACCTCCTTTTATTTCAGCTGGTCATTCTTCCCAGTCAGCATCAAACTTTGGCACAGCTCCTAGATCTTCAGTGTTCTGTGCTGCCTGAGTGAAACCTTATTGTAGCACCATTACTCATTCCTGTCCTTACTAAGCCTGTTCTTTGTTCCTAACTGCTCCCTGGTCAGTGGCCTCCTGCCAGAGTATGTTCCATAAGGGCTCCCCCATGCCTAAAGCGGGGATCAAAGGAGAGGATGGATTGGGACTCACCGCAGCTGCAGGGGGGCTACCACCACACACTCCTCTCAATCCTGCTGTGCTGCAAGTTTTCTACACCAGTAGACCAAATTCAGTAGTGTGCATTACCGTAAATATAGATCTGCAGAGATCACTGAGTTAGGCCTGTTTGTTAAAATGAGAAGAAATTGTCCCACTGGTAGGCTTCACTTAATAGTCAAAAAAAGAACTCCAGGCCCAATTGATGTTATTAATTGTTTTACTATTGACTTTAATAGTCTAGCATTTCCTTGTTACTGCATTTTCATACATTTACCTTTGGGACAGGAGATTATTAGTGTCAGTGATTTTGTCTATGGCCTTCAAAAATCTTCGTTAGCTTGGAAATCCTGGAGAGCTTTTCTGTATTGGTTGTGCATGAAAATAAAGTTAAATCTTGAATTGCATGCTTAAAAAAGCAGTAGGATCATGAAGATACAGAAGGCTACATTAGTAAAGGCATAGTGAAAGCTTTTATTTCTCCAGGAGTGATGAGGATTTGGGTAGAGTGTTTCTTTTTCTTTTTAATTTGTGGGATTTGCTGCTTTTTTGTGGAGGAGGTGGGGTTTATTTGGCTGTTGTAAACTGCCTTGTGTACAACTTTCCACTTACAATGGAGAAATGCAGCATTTATTGAAGAGGTAAGGTTAAGATGGTATTTTTGACACTTCCTCCCTTCATGTATGCATGTTTCTTGACCTTTTAGTATTCTCATCTTGTAGCTTTTCCTCAAAATTGCTGTGATAAAACATCAGTGCAGTAGCATGTTTATGGATTTGAGTTTTACAGTATACTTAACATGGCAGACCATATGATACATATGACTATGGTGAAGCAGACTGTTCTTGTCACCTTTGCTCTAGTAGGAATATGTACAGTCTTTGGATACCAGGTGTTTTAGACAGTAATCCTGAAAGTTGATTAAGAGAAGTCTACGGCTGCAGAGTTGAATTGAGTCATGAATCATAGATAAGTGTCTTAGGGGAATCTGGCGTGACCAATAGTCTCTCAGTTTGTGAAACTCTAAAAGTTGTCAGTTAATATTAGGACTAATCCATTCACATGGAGGTTTCCTGTTTTTCATCTTAGATATGGATAAAAGCTAAGAAAAGAAAGACAGTACTCTATATAACATGCAGTAGGGTGTGCATTTCTAGCTGATTAAGTCAAAAATCTTCATATACTGTTTTTATCTGTGTTTGGATAGTGACAAACCAGGTTTCTTTCATGGTAGTAGTCTGGGTTTTTTCTGTGGTGACTTAATTTCATAAATCAAAATAGTTACTTTTTTCACTTTCAGAAAACTTCTGCCAGAAGTTATAGCAGCGTTACTAATTTAATTGTTAATATTTGTTCTAGTACTGACTTTGCTTCTGTAATTTTTCCCTTCCTTCTCTTTTTTTATTTCAGCTGAGTTTTCAACATAAGATTGGTATCCTTTACTGCAAAGCAGGCCAAAGCACAGAAGAAGAAATGTATAACAATGAGATGGCAGGACCAGCGTTTGAAGAGTTCCTTGATCTGCTGGGCCAGAGAGTACGGCTAAAAGGATTTAGTAAATATAGGGCTCAGCTAGATAATAAAAGTAAGTTACGTTTCCAACCTATGGTAGAAACTATAATCATCCAGTTCATCTTTTGTAAATGCTGTTTTGTCTTTTGATGCTCTTAAATCTAGGTTTTGATTAGTAAGATTATATGGTAAATGAGGAAAATGAAGCATATGGTAAGAGCATGTGCTGCACCTTGTCTGAAAGGTTATTTACTTTCTCTGTGGCATTAGTGAACTGAAAATCAAGGCAACTTACTTAATTTCTTTGCATGTAGTTAAAATTGTACTATATGAGTGATATTGTTTAGCAAAGTACACATTTTAAAGCTATTAAATCCTGCTACTTGTGTGTGTACTATACTTACTCTTCAAATAAAATGGGAAAGTTCCTTGAACTGTTAAGAGATAAGCGGCCAAGAAGGAAGCTTAGAAAGATATACTTAGAGGAAATTAAGGGAAGATCTTCTTTTCTTGCAAAGAATATTTCGTCTTTCAGATAGTCAGAGATCTAGAACTTGATAAATCCTCTTATTTACTTCTCTCTTCTCCTGCCACTTATCCACCATATCTAGCCTGATTCTTAGGAATCTCTTGTGCGTTCTTGCTGCTTCAACATCAGTCTTTATTTAACTGGAGTACATCTGGATTTTTATGGTTGTTTTTATTTTTAAATAGTGAATATGGATCAGTGTCATAGTCGGAAAAGGATTTCTCTTCTGTTATCGAACTGGTAGTCCCCTGGTGGACTGTTATCTCCTGTACAGCATTAGGAGAGAGACTTACTGATTCATATTAGAAATTTTTGGAAATGTCTGGGGTGTATACATTGTGGTTAGTACTCAGTCAGGATAAACTGTCCATAGGCCAATCTCCGTCAGGAAATGAGCTGTTCGAAGTTGGTGATTAAAACCTTATGTGTTTGCAATGAAGAGAGACCAGCTGTGCAACTCAAAAATTCTTTCACATTCTCCATCTCTACTAGTGGTGGGAAATGGTGAAATAAGTGAGCTGAGTCCTATGAAAGATTCTAATTTATGACTTAAAAGGTGGGAAAGCTGCAGTTTCTTAGCCCTGTCAACCTGTGGAAGCATCACATTTATTTTTATTAACATTATTGCCTTTTTGCTTTAAATCCATGCTTGTTTCACTTAATAGTTTAGTCTTAATAGAGACTATTGCATTCTATTTCAGTACAGAATAATAACTCATTTTTCAAATTAATGTGTAGAAATATTTATTAAAACACTGTGGGTGTCAGATTTCTGGGATGAAAAATTCAAAGAAGTGATGTATATTTTGGATTTGCTTCCCCCTCCTCCAATCAGGGCATGACCAAGTAACACCTAGTAATTTTTATGTTTGAAAATATATACTGGTCTGTAAAGCAAATTCACTTTCTATATTTGCTGATGGACATTGTGTATATATCATTCAGTAATGTAATTTATGTGTTTTACTGATGCTGTGTATCATTAACAGTAGTGGTCTGTTGTAACATGTACTCACAAACAATGAAATTAAGAGAGTTCTCAAAGATATAGTCTTCAGGTTTATATTAAATGTAAAATACTGACTTGTCATCTTTTTTTGTGTTATACTTGCTCTTTTTTTCCCACTGGATAGTACACTGATCTGACTGCCTGCAGGTTCAAAATAGTGCAATAATTTCATGTCAAGCAGCTACATTTTTGGTAGCTATGATTTTTGGTAGACATAATGTTTCAGTAGCATTTCTTGCTCAGTTTTTGTAGGGTACACATTTAGTAAGTTTTTCTGTTCTCAAATGTTAGATTAGCTGTGAGTTTTTCTTAAAGAGTGTATTTTTTGATTTTGGTCTATTTAGTATTTTGAGAAGTAATTAGTTGGTCCATTTCTTATGGAATCTAAGATATTGTGATGGGTTGACCTGTCTGGCAGGTAAGCTCCCCACACGCTTGCTCACTCACTTCCCATCAGGTTTTGATGGGAGAAGGAAATGAGAAGGGCAAAAGCAAGAAAACCTTCTGAGTTGAGATTAAGGCAGTTCACTTAAGTGAAGTAAGGAATGGAAAAATCCAAACCCACCCCCCCCCAAAAAAGCACCACCAAGAAACCAACTCACAGCTACAACAATCCACCCACTGATCATCCAAAAATCCTACAGAAACAAGGAGTGCAAAGGCAAGCACTCGCCACCTCCCATGAGCAGACTGGTGCCCAGCCAGTCTCTGGGCAACAGCTACCCCGGAACAACTTCCCCCGCTCCGGTTTCGCTGCAGAGCACGGCGTTACGTGGTATGGGGTATGTCTTTGGTCAATTCGAGTCAGCTGTCCTGGCTGTGCTCCCTCCCAAAGTCTTGCCGACCCCCAGCATGCTCTCCAGGTGGGAAACCATGAGAAACAGAGAAAGCCCTGATGCTGTGTGAGCAGTGTTCAGCGTAACAGCTAAACCATTGGTGTGTTATCAACACAGTTTTGATCACATATAGGAAACCCAGCACCATATGGGCTGCTATGAAGAAAGTTAGCTCCATCCAAGCCAGACCTGGTACAAATATGGAGAACATGTGGAATATATTAACTACAAAGTCATTTCTGCCCTTTTTCAGTGCATTTTTAACAGCATGCAATTCTAAATCCCAAGATCAAGAAATAAGAAAATTAGAGGGAACTTTACCAATTCAACACTATATAATTTAGTCAGTATATGTTTTAAAGCATATCAATCTATGAGAATCAAGGAATTAAAATATTATTATTGGAACGTTAATGCTCTCATTTGTAATGCTTAGACTTATGGAATATAGTATGAATAAATTTGATTGTTGCATTTGATTTCTTATTACCTTTAAGGAGAAAAATGAAGGTAAAAGAAAATGAGGAAACATGACAAACTTATGTCAAACTTATGTATGTTTCATAATAGAAAGAAAAGTTTAGTCCATTGTTCTCAAACTTTTTGAAATAAAACTAGTGTTCAGAAGGACATGAGGTACAAAAATGTCAGCCTAGTTTTTTTTTTTTCCACTGAAGTTGTCAGCGGCTTAAAGTTTGTGTTAGCAGCTGTTGCATAAATTTAATCACAGTGGGCCTTAGTAGATGTTCAGTAAAGCTTATGTTGAGTTAGAAGATTTCAGCTTGCTTAGTGTCAGGGAAAAAATTTCAGAAGAAAACTTTCTAGCTTGTTTCCAAAGTCAAGATGCTAAATCAAAAGTAGTCAACTAAGTAGGATGTTATTAGGAAAGCATTGATTTAAGGGTTTCTGTAATAAGTATTTGAAGAGACTGTTTTGTGCAGGACCTGTTCAAGATAATTTGACTTTATTTAATGCCTAATTGCAGAAGGAGTCAGGGAGTAGGGTTGCTAAGATCAGTGTAGTTTAGACAGATATTTGTATTTCACAATATAATTTCTTTCATCTTTCTGTCTCTTTACAACTGTCTTTCTAAAATGCCACAGAAAGGATGTAATGGGATTATGTTTCAACAAATATTTTAAAATAGAGGAGTGCAATAATATTTGCATTTTAAGCAACATTTAAGTAAAACTTCGTTGGACATTATAATCCTTATTTCTTACGTAACTGTAATTTATTTGTATTACATCTATATGAATAAATGAGGGGGGTTTTTTTTATTCTGCAAACAGAGGTGATGAAGCCAGTTGTCATATGAATCATTTAAAATTAGACAGACGCACAAATATTTTCAGATTTAGGGCTGCGGACACAGTATGGTTATTGTTGAATTTTACACTTAGATGTATGTTTATATACTTCTAACTGGAGAAATAACATGACCAATCAATTGCTTTTTGGAATACAGTTACTATTTAAACTAAAACAAACTCCAGAATTTTAAGCAGTATGCAGAAGAGAGTGCTGGAGAATGTTTACTGGAGTGGATAGTATAAAATGAACATGTTCACATAAAGTGAACATGGAGAATGGAAGAAAAGAAATTGTCTTGACTTGATAGGGTGCTCCAGCTTCTTGCTTTCAAGTTAATTGTACTTATTAAATAATCCATATGTATTTAAGGTGGATAAAAGGGATTAAGTTAAGACTGCAGAGGAACTCACCTAATTTGCTGTAAACATGCTAAACTGATAACTCTATTAATAAAATTTCCAATATAAGAAATAAAAAATATTAAATAATATCATATATGAAATATAATTTAATGATTTTTAAATATCTGAAAATTCCCAATAATATTGCTATACATTGTACTACGATGTATTATGTTCATATTTTATGTTTTAAAACACATACTGCAGATCAGCCATTTTTAATGTCAGTTTTGAAGTGGCATTGTCAGTCTATTTTTGGTAAAGTATGTGATTAATCAAATATCCTCAGTAACTTTTTAAATAATTAAAATATATTATGTAAAACTGTATTCAAGTACCCAAGTGGGGTTTTTTTGCTTTGGATTTTTTTTTCACAAAATGGCAATATATGCAAAATTAGACCACTTAGGCCTTGTAGACAGCAAACTCTTTGGGCAATTTCTTGCAGGACCCCTCTGTGTCATAACATAACACTAAAGAGTAGGTCTTTAGCTGGTGCAAAATGGTTTTGTTCTGTTGAAAAAAGTTTTAAATTACGTTAATAGGTTTAAATCATAAGACAGAAAGAGTGGTATCATGGAAGTAGCGTGAATGTTCTGTTTTACTGAACTTTTTGTGCTTAAATTTGATTTCAGCTGATTCAACAGGAACTCATTCCCTCTATACTACCTATAAAGATTATGAGTTAATGTTTCATGTGTCAACAATGCTTCCATACATGCCCAGTAACAGGCAACAGGTATGTGTTTAAACTTCATTGTAATTTTACATTATAATTGTTTGACATGGAGGGCTTTTTTAAAAGTAATACCGATTTAAACCTGAATTGTTTTATATGACGTATGACTCAGTTGTAGGCTCTTTTGGTGTGATTTGTTTTCTTGAAATACTGTAAAGTCTTTTATACTATATAATTCAGGAACTTATCTCCCCATTTCACGATATTATTAAAAGGTAATGTTGCCTTTGGTGAATGAGGCTTTATTCAGTTTTGACTGGATTTATATCTTATGTATGTTTTAAATGTTGAATAGACTGAAGCTTCAAAATAGTCTTATGGTTAAAATACACATGCAATAAAATTTTTTTAAAAGATTTATTTAATCTGTGTATTGCAGATCTTGAAATATTTATTAATGTATCAGCTTAATAAATACTTAACTGTATCCTTCCAGATGTCTACTTGTGAAGACAGAAAGCTGCAGTGTACTTATTTTATTTTTGGAGAATTCCCTCTGCTTATGTAATAATTCAGAATATCTTTAAAGCATTAAGGATGGCTAAAAAGCAGCACAGCATCCAAAGTTTGAGGTGCACCAGTAAGGTTACTCTGTCTTGCCTGTTTCAAATATTTCTTGCAACTGAATTGAAAAAGTACAAGCACATTTGGTATAATATATCGATATTAACACTAAAAAAACCAAACCAGTAGAATTCCTCATAGATCAGACTGAGGATAGTTGATAATTTTCTGTGCGACTATTCTGAAATTTTCTAGGTCTACAGAAATAAGTGTTGGATTTATTTAGTTTTCGAATATTCTCCCATTGCCATGCAAGACATAAAAATTTCAGTCATTTTGGAGGGTTGTCACAAAAGAAAGATGCTATCTCACTTTCCTTTTGAACAGCAAACAGAAGATGGTTACTGATTGTTACAACATATGTGAGTTGTGTCTTTCAGGTCTACTGTATCAGTAGTTCTTGTGAGAAGAGAGATCTGTTAAAGCAGCAATAGAAAGATAAAACAATTACAATTCTTCAGAAAGCATAAATGAAAATCGAAGTGGAAGAAACTGCGTATAAAGTATTTATGTATTTTAAATTGTCAGTACGTAATGTTCTGAACTCTTCAAAGAACTGTTTCAACTGAACAGTTAAGACAACTGCAAATATTACTTCATTACACTTAGAAACTAAATTAGGAATCAAAAGACAGAAACTCTTCACCATATGAACATATGAATATTTAGATGACTCACATATTAAAACGTGTGGCTTTCAAAAGACAGATGTTCAACTAGGTCACACACTTAACTGTACTAATAAGTGGTAATAAAGGTATCGGATCATCTGCTTGAGGTTGCTCCACTTCTTTAAACTTTCACTTATATCTCATTAGAACACAGGATTAATTTAGTACACTCAATAGGAGTTGTTCTGCCTGTAATCAGTCGTAACAATTTTTGACTGAAAAAAATGTAAATGAGAAAAACTGTACACTATTAAGAAGATATAATACACTGAATGTGCTTGCCTCAGAAGGAAGAAATTAATATTTTCATTGCTAATCACAGGCACTGACAGTAAATATGGCCTTACTTGGAGTTTATTACTTTTGTTGTCTTTCATGATTTACCCTTTTCTGTGAGAACAGGATATCCTCTTGCCATGACCTGCTAATTTTCGTAATTGTTTGCTGTTTGTCAGCTTCACTGCTGTGTTGCTCAGTCACCCCCTCTTACTGTCCTTTCACTTCTTGTGCCTTGCTTTCATTCTCTTCATTTCCTTATGTGTCTTTCTTTGTAGTCAGAACCAATTCTTGTGTATAGCAAAATCTTCCAATTTTAAGTCCATGGTTTTCCCCAGCAACAAGCACTCCTTTCCACAGTGTTTTAGTAAGCTCTCATCATTGTCACTTGAACAAGTTTGATATTTAGTAGAAGTGCCATGTTGTTATTCGTGGCTTTCTTGGGATCAAAATAATGTGGCAGTTTTTCAAGTTGTAGTACTATGTCTGTCTGAAGACCTACCACATTATTTTTTTTTTTTAGGTGCTGGGATCTAGCACAGCATGGACACTGTCTTAATGAGATGTGACACATGCACACAAATGACCAGAATTTAGCCAGCCTTAATGTGCAAAAGGGATCTGTAATCATTGTTTGGTTTTCTTCTCTTACTATTTAGTTCCAAAATACGTACTGAAGCATGAAATGTATCAACAGTGTTATTTCTCACAAGCAAAGATAAAATTCGATTAGGTCTTTTTTCTTGAGACATTTTAGGTGCTGAAGAACACAGATGCAGTTGCATCAGTTGTGCTCAAGACAGAGAGAGACTTACAGGTGCTGTGGAATATGAATGTTGTTTGTCTCTTCAGGGTTTGGCTCCTTAACTTTACCTACCCAAGTAAAGGGAAGTTAGGGACCATGGGAGTTTTCCATGTAGGCTATTTGAGCAATAAAGACCCCCATTCAATAGTTATTTTTTGCTAGCTTATTGTGTATGTACAGGCAATGAGGCTGATGCATCCTATCCCTATGTCCTGTGTTTGGTAATGACTGGGAAAGGTATTGAGTCACTCTTCCTCATCTAGGACTATGACCTTCAATGAGCAAGCACTGAGCATTGCTTAGATTCCAAATGCCTGTGAGCCAAAACTAGGCCACACCAGAATTGTTTGTTGCTTCTTCCAGGACATAACTACGCCCTGCTTGGTCCCTGATCAGGACATCCCTCTAGTTTTAGAGCCAGCAGGAGATCCAAAGAGCAAGGTAATTTTCACTTTGGCTGCAACATAGGCTGGGAAGTTTCAAGTCAGCTGCTCCTTCCCTAGGACAGAAAAGACTACCAGCCCTGGTGTGGCCAGGTTCCTTTCCTTTACTGGCCTTTTTTTCAAATTGTAGTTCAAGGCTTTCCCCGTTAAACTTTACCTTTGCAACATCCCTTTCCAAATCATTCCCTTGCAAGTTTCCCATTCACGTTTGCAGTCTGCTCGTGTACACATGGTCAGACCTGATTAATCCAAATCAGTTCAAGGAATCAGTTTTCAGCTGGTTTAATGAAAACATACAGAGAAACAGATATGCAATAATGAGATAAACTTGTTGAATTTAAACTACTGTTTAAATGGATGGGATAACAAGACATCTGATTGTACCAAACAGTTTAACCAGGTCTAATGAAATATCTTTTGCCATTTATTTCTGGGTTTGGTACTGGTTGAGGACACAAATTAAAAATAAAACTGTTGAAACAGCTTATTTTAGAAATGTGCTAAAATAAGTTTGAAGACTTTCTTGTTTGGCTATTAACATTTCATCATTTAACTGAATGAAGAATATATTTCGCTGCTATTTCAACAAGAATTCCCTGTTGTTTTGCAGTGGGTGGACTTTTTATGACAGGGCATAACCTGTAAATATGCTAAGTTTTAAGACGGTGCTTTTCTTCAGAGATGCATATCTGAAAATTAAAAATTGACGAGGTGAAATGTCCAAATTAATATAGTAACTATTATGTGGCATAAATAATTTTAATCTAATGGATTCTGCCTTTCTAACATATTTTCCTTACCAGATTCCCCTATCTGTGTCTTGTATTCTTGCATAAAACTTCCTTGATTGTTTTTTTTGGCTGCCTGTCGTGCTTGATTTCAAATTCTTTTGATTGAAATTCATTTTCAAATTCTATTATGCCAATTTAGGCTGATACTTGAATGATGTCAAAATGTATTTAATGTCTCCTTACTGTAAGTAACACTATGTAATGTGTGCATCCAATTGAAAGTTCCTCTTGTGCTCTGCATTGGCATGAGACTCTTGAGAGTATGTTAGAAAGGCAGATTGAAAAAAAAGTTAATACTACAACCCCCAAACCTGAGCAGACCTCAAAATGGGAGAGGAAGGGGAAACTGAGAACCTGAAAAAAAATGTAGGAGGTAAAACTTGGGAGGAAGACCTAGATTTTAGAATGGGAACTAGAAAAGCGTTTCTTACGAATCTTCTTGCTTAGTTCCAGTTTCCTTCAATTCCTTTTTCATTTTCAGTGTGCCATCCTTATCTCACAGTTCCCAGGGAAGTATGTGTTCCCTCTCCCTTCTCCATTCAATGCTTTATTCTTTTCCTATTCCTTTATCCTCTCCAGAGCACTTCTTTCCATGTTCCAGATCACCCCAGTTTACTTCTCTCCCTTTCCAGAGTTCTTTGCGTTATAATACTCTACAGCCACAACTGTGCTTTGCTTTTGCAATTGTGTTGAAGTTCACTGACCACTTATGCATGACAGTGATTTATAACAGTGCTAAACTGATTTATTTTAAAATGTTCAAGAAGTCAATAAGATCTCTGCAAACTTGGTAAGGTTCTTAAAATGATGACCTGACTTCCTGTTTTCTGGGTTTGTGCCTCTTAGAGACTGAAGCTCTCGAAAAATAGTTTAAGGGTATGATATGGGAACTGCCATGATTTTGAAGACTATTTTTGCTAGTAAAATTTCAGACATTTCTAAAACTTACCTCTTATTGGCTGCTATTCTTTCTTAAGCAAGCAGAACCTCTTAAAGAGGTCTAGAAAAGCAGAAAATATTATTGAAAACATTGATTGTCTTAAGAAATAAGTATAATTTTAAACAGAATGCTGCTTTCTAATTTCTGAAATTTTGCTCTGTAGAAATATATAGGTACAGGCATGAACCTCTATAGCAAGAAATAATAATTGGGCAGTTAGTTATATAGCAAAGGCTGAAATGAATCACCTTGTACCTCATAATTGGAAGCTTTCTTACAAATTTAACTGTGGTGTAAATTCCAACCTGTGACATAATAATAACTTGTAAACATGAGCTTGTGCTGCAGTTCTATGATCTAATTGTATGAGTTACTAGTTTAGCAAATTAAAGTATACCCAACACACTTAGCTCTGTGATCAATTCCACATAGTGTACTTCTGCTGTAATTTCTATGCAACAGAATGTATATTGGAAACTGCTCAATTAGCCAGTTGTTTTGACTGTAGTCTTAAAAACTCCAAAACATGACTGAGACATGTGGATTATGCCAAATATTATTTTCAGTTCTTCTATCTGTTTTAAAGTTACATCAGAAGTCTTACTTCTTAAATCTACATTTTGGATTATGTTTAAAATAATATAGATATACCGAGTGCTTTGGAATGGTGGATTTGGTCCTTCTTACTACCTTTAGAATACCTTCTTTTGTGTTACTTTAGAAAATAAAATGAAATATACTTACAGGTCTTAGGCTTTGACATGCAATTTCACTTTTTTTTTTTTTTGGTAGCTGAATTGCAAACTTCTAATGGAACAAGCAAATGCTTTTTTATTAGGAAGATTATGTTCTGTAAAATAAGCTCAATAGGGAAATTTTTATTTATTCTGCCATAAAGTTTTCAGATATATTTGTTCTTGTACACTCCTTAGTTACACATGAGATAAGGTAAAGCTTTAAGTGTCTGTATGTTATTAGTTGACAAAGCAAGGTCTTTGACAGACTTTGAGTGGATACTTAAAATGTTGCACATGCTAGACTACTTCTTTCCCCTATTAATATACATAGATGTTTTATAAGCAAATGTATTAAAGAAAAAAGTGGAAAAAAATTGAGAAGTGCAATAGACTTCAATGAGGAGAGTGATCATCGTTTCACTGCATCGTTTTGTTGGGTTTTGGGGAGGAGAGAGAGAACTGGTCCCTTACTGATGGACAAGTTTAGGAGTTTTTGTTAAGCTTTAGCTTGTAACAATGATTTAGTACTTTGAATGACTCCTGAAATATGTTTTGATTATAAAAGCTACCAGTTACAAGAATAAATTTTTAATAATGAGTTTCTAATAGCCATTGTTTCTCCATAAGTCTCAGCTCTGTTTCTCAAGTATGCGGTTGTTACAATTTTTGATGTGTATTGATGATAATTTATTAAAAAATAAATAAAGATTGTAATATTAAGAACACTATTTAATAAAAATGCAACAGGGAAAAGGAAGGTTTATTAAGAAACAAAAGCAATACTATATCTTTCATATAGAAGCAAATATTACACTGTAAAGAGGGAACTGATACAGTTCTCTGGATAGTGAGAAAGATCAAGGAGTGTAACTTTTTTATTACTAAAGCGGTGCACTAAAGTAAGAGAAACATTTTTCTCATAAAGTAAGAGAGAAATGAGCAGAAGCTATGCAGAACAAGTGTGAGGATATGCGAGGTTCTTTCTTATTAGTCCAATTTCCTTTCTCTGTACTTTTGCATTTTGGTCCAATATCATTTAGTTGTCCAGGACATGATAAATTACAAGTTATTTCTGAAAAATCAGTCTTCGTTTATTTTGGTTTTGAGTGTTTTGTGGGGTTTTTTTTTTTTGCTAAAATGAAGAAATTGTGATTTATTTTTTTTAATAACTAATTTTTCAATGCATGTTTCTTGTCTAGCTGCTAAGGAAAAGGCATATAGGAAATGACATAGTTACCATTGTCTTCCAAGAGCCAGGAGCACTTCCTTTTACTCCAAAAAATATTCGTTCCCACTTTCAACATGTATTTGTCATAGTCAAAGTGCATAATCCTTGCACTGAAAATGTATGCTATAGGTGAGTAGAGCCTTATAACTATTTAATTTTTTTTTATTAAGACTACAATGAAACTGCATCGTATAACAGTTTTATATTTCCTGGAGATGATTTATATGCAGTTTTAAAAATTCTGCTATATTTTCTGTGAGTTTGAAACCCCTCACACACATCTAGAGTAATGAGGCACAGTTTGTAGACTTAAATGGATATATGTGGAACTCTCTGTTGCTGGTTTATGGGCACAAAATGGGAATGTAACAAGTTAAGTGAACATAAGATTTGCAGACATAGCAATAGTAATTAATTTAAAATTTGTATCGCACATTTCGTTTTCCTGAGAAAGATGTTTTAAGTACTTCAGAAGGCTATTGACATGTATAAATAAGGTTATTTACTTGTATAAATCCCTGAATATGATGATATGACGCCTAGATGAGTCCTGACTTTTAAGCACATGAATGAGGACTTTTGGGGAGTATAACAGCATCTCACATTTCAGATGACTCTCACACTTAAGTTACTGCATCATGAATTCTAGCAAGGTAACTGGAGTGGAAGCATGGTTCTAAACTGCTTGGGAATTGTGCAAATAATGATAAGGTCTTGAAGCATAATGGTGGTGTTTAGCATGTATAAATGTTATTTATTAATTGTTTAGAATTAAATTGAAGTACATCATGAGGCTGGGTCATTTTACTGTCTTTTAGCTGTCTTTTCAAGCTTAAGCTATCTTTTAGAACTCCATTTTGTTTCAATAGCTCATGTTTCATAATACATCACGTTTCGTAAGTTGTATTTTTTGACTACTAAATGATATCTTGTCTATCACCCCAAATATGACTGCATTTCAGTCAAACTTGCAGTTTTATGTAGTTTGCAAGGTATTTTGGAATCCTTTTAAAGCTGAAATTCTTTATGTTGATGCAATTGTAGGTGTGATTGTATCAATGAGAAATTACTCCTATTTCTTTTGCAACTTGCTGTGAACTGTCTATATTAAGAATTGCAGGTATTTTGAAATTTTGTGAACATAGAGTAGGCAACTTAATGTGAGCATTCTGCATCTGTTTATAGACACATATGACACCAATACCTTTGTCCTCACACTTCATTGTAGCAAAATACTCAAGGATTAAAATGAATTCTGTTTCTAGTTGTGTATTTCTTAGTTTTAAGATCATGCAACTGATTGACAGCTGACATTGATAGTAAGCTTATATAAAAAATAATTTGTAAAAATACTTCTCTCATTTATTTCTCAGAAAACATTTTTATATTTATTCCATTTAAAAAAGGAGACAGTGACACCCTGAGAAGTCATCCTTGATGTTTCTGTGTTAGTAAGATATATCCAGAATATCTTTTACGTATTTAAAAGAAAAAAGTAATTTTAAACCAGACAACCGAATCAGTTTTCTTTGATATGTCTAAAATATCTGAAAATTGACATGTTAAATCCAAACCCGGTTATGTAAATGGACTGCAGAGATCACAGTTATGCTTATCATCTCCTCTTTTTTTTAGAAATTAACCATTGTTTTTTTTCTTTCTGTTTCCAGTGTTGGCGTTTCACGATCAAAAGATGTACCTCCATTCGGTCCACCCATTCCCAAAGGAGTAACGTTCCCCAAATCAGCAGTCTTTAGGGACTTCCTTTTAGCCAAAGTTATCAATGCTGAAAACGCAGCACATAAGTCAGAAAAATTTCGAGCCATGGCCACAAGGACACGTCAAGAATACTTGAAAGATCTGGCAGAAAATTTTGTTACCACAGCTACAGTGGATACTTCTGCAAAGTTCAGCTTTATTACTTTAGGGGCAAAAAAAAAGGAAAAAGTGAAACCAAGGAAAGATGCACATCTATTCAGTATTGGAGCAATTATGTGGAATGTCGTTGCACGAGATTTTGGCCAGTCTGCTGACATCGAATGTCTCCTTGGAATCTCCAATGAGTTTATCATGTTGATTGAGAAGGAATCAAAAAATGTTGTGTTTAACTGCTCCTGCAGAGATGTTATTGGATGGACATCTGGATTAATGAGCATCAAAATATTTTATGAAAGAGGAGAATGTATTCTTCTGTCTGCAGCAGATAATTGTACTGAAGACCTCAGAGAAATTGTTCAAAGACTTGAAGTAAGTTTTTTAACTCGAATTCCAAATTTTTCATGAAGAGTTACTTGTTTTACACCTCCTTTGAGATATAATTTAAAATATCCTACATTTATACTTTTGAGAGTCTTTTCCGTCTTTGGACTGAAATAATCCTTTAGACAAATAATAATCCTCACAACAGCATATGAGAAGTGTTGTCAACCCATTTTCAGGGGTGAGGAATCTTGTGATAATAATCTGATAGAGTTGCCCAAGGCCATGGATGATTTCAGTGTTGAAATCAGGATTGAAAAGCTAAGCTCTTGTCTTCTCTTGATGTAGCCTGTTCTCAAATCACACCTTTGTAGCTAGAAATGTACCTTAATTTAAAAGTATACAAAAATCTTACTGTGTAAAATATACTCACTTCGGTCTTTTATAGTAAGCCCCGTGAATATTAGCAGAAAAATGCGTGTAAGTGCTGATTACTTCCTCTGTTGTGAGCAAGTGCAGAAAGTAAAGAAAACTAGACCAATTAATGTTAGTTTTTACAGCTGACTGGATAAAGTTTTTCAGATGCTTAATGACCCTGTTAGCACAATTGTCCTGTAACTGTTTCAGTCAGTACAAATGATCTGACAGGAACTCCAGGGTAAAAGTGCTGATACATCTCTTCATGTGGTTACACTTCACCCATTGTTCTTAATTTAAGTGATCTATTTCATTCCATATATGTCATATTCAGTATAAAACTGAGGAATCATGGGGGTTAAGCCCTCTTCAGCTGTGGCCAGCATTTGAGGAGGACTCTGTCCATTCTTCTACCTTTGATCTTGATCCTGAGTTCCCAAATCCAGCTTCTGTATCTAGTTCTCTCCTACTGCTGAGCCTGGGTCTTCCCAGGTGCTGCCTACTCTGCAGCATCAGTGGGGGTTGCTACTGAGGGCAGTGGAGTTTGATACTGGTTTCGTTTGTATTTCATTATTTTCATTATTTCCTTATTAGTACTTTTAATGTTTATTAAAGCTATTTTAGTTTTCTTTTCCAGTCTTTAAAGCTCTCCATGTTATTCTCCTTCCTTCCTGTTTGGACAGGGAGAGGGGTTAGAGAGCATCTGTCATTCCTTTAGTGGCCAGCCCAGCCCTGACGACACTCACTAACGTACCAAACCCTCTGACTTTGGGTCACTGACCAAGTTACAGGCATAAGTTACACAACCGTTCCAAAGTTTTTTTGCAGTCAGCCATTGGATTGAGAAGTGAGTAGAAGTTAAGCCTCTCATCTCAGACTCTGTAACAGACTTGGACAAAAGTTGTTTTTTTTTTAAACTGGAAATGTAAAAAGGATGCTAGAAAAGTAACTTACAGCTTAATATTTGCTATATGTTAAGTTCCCTTGTCAGTGATGGAGATGTACTGTCATAATAGTTGCCAGTGAAGGAGACAGTCCCATCCATTCCCTGCCTGCCACCACTTTGGAATGCTATTTTTAAAAGCACCCTGTTTTTCAGCTGTGTCTTATCTCTGATCTGTCTGCATGGCTGCGTGAGTTCTAATGAAATATAAGGATAATAATGTATAGTGCTAGTAGAGTCTTAGATCGGTTTAAACCTCCCATGAAACTGCACCTAGTAAACTGCATCTGACCCAGGTAATGAAAGGAGGGATTTTGTGACTGCTTTACCCAGTGACAATGCCAACATCTCACTAGATGCACAGTCCCAGTCCCTCACCCTGCATCCCTGAATTAGGTTGGGTCATGCTTCTGTGCGAAGCACGCCCTAAACCGGTGAGCTAGCCTGCCCAGATTGTAGCTCATGTAGACAATGAAGGGGGAGAACAACTCTTCCAAAATAGCCTGAATTAGACTCAAGTTATAAAACAACCTTCACAAAAACCTATCCTATACAACTGAATTATGAACAAATATTTTTTATACTGTTGTTTCACAGTGTTTAAGTTTTTTTTCTAGTTGTGCTAATGGAGATAAAATATGTTCTGGTTTTGTGACACTGAGAGAAGGAAATGTTAGAGTAACACACAAACTTGCCTTGTAACGTGGACTAGATTTTGGTCTTCCAAGTCTGGTGTAGTATCCCAGCGTTTACACTCTTGTGTGATTATTTTTTACTGGGAAAACTATTGAGGACTTGTTACGCAGCATGTAGAAGTCAACCTGCTTAGCAAAGTCTGTACATGGAGGATTTTGGCAACTCTATGTAATGACAGAATTATTTTACGTTGACTTTGAAGAAAGTAATTTTTTTTGTTGCTCAGTTTCACGGCGACATGAAAATTTTTGTTGCATTTTAGTGATGTCCACATCTGGAGAGGGTGGTATTTATAAATCTGACTACAAGGCAAAATAAATCAAAATTATCTTCAGTACTGTGTTCTTGAGGAAGAACTAAAGCATTTCAATCAATTTGGCTCATGTTATATCTTCAGTTTAGTACTGTCTAATAGTGAAGAAAAGATGCCAACACACCTGCAGTAAGACAGCCAACAAAAACTAAGTAAACTGACAGCAGAGCATTTCGCTTGCTTTATGTTTTGAAACTAAAGCGGTTGTGTAAGTTTTCAATAAGATATAAATGATACTGTGTTGATATTGGGCAAGGGAGAAGGAACTTGCCATGGGTCAGCTGGTTCCTCTGGGAATGTAATTTTTTTAGTATTGTGCAATGTTTTTTTTGTTTTGTGCAGAAACCTTCATTCAACCACAAATGTTAAAGTAATTATTAGTATCATATATTAAAGATACTTAACATCAAGAGATACTTGTCCTTATAGTTTAAAACGGATTGTGTGTCCAAAGAAATGAGTGTCCTGACTATAACTTAACGATCTGGTGCTTCTTTAGATAGTGACCAGAGGATGTGAGACCACAGAAATGACTCTTCGGAGGAATGGGTTGGGCCAGCTTGGATTCCACGTGAACTTTGAAGGGATTGTGGCAGACGTGGAGCCCTTTGGTTTTGCATGGAAGGCAGGTCTACGGCAAGGCAGCCGCCTGGTTGAGATCTGTAAAGTGGCTGTGGCGACTTTAACTCATGAACAAATGATTGACCTTTTACGTACATCAGTGACAGTAAAAGTGGTGATTATTCAACCACACGAGGATGGAGCTCCTAGAAGGTAATGAGCAACAATTCTCAATGTCAGAGTTGTGTCTGTTTGTTAAAGGTTTTCTCTCTACTACTGCTTAAACAACGGCTCTTTTATTGGGAGACCCTCAGGAAAGGGATATTGTCTCTCATGTTTGGTGATAATAATATTGAAGCTTTGAAGCAGTTTTTTCCCTCAAACCTCTATTGGATTGTAATAAAAGACAAAATGGGATCCTGTAAGAAATTTAATAGGAAGTTTATTTTTATATGGCTTTGAAAGAATAAGAAGTAAACTTTAATGCATCATGACTGAGCTCTTAGGAAGACTGATGTGATTTCTTTACTTCCACAGAGAATTTTATATTTTATTACTAAATTTGAAAATTGGGAATCCTTCTCTGAAAACTATACCATGTCCGTCTTTGACATCTCCTTGACTCCTGACTATTGAAAAGGATGTGTTTTATTTTTAAGTACGTTTTATTTTTAAGTTATGTTGGTTTCTCTGAGAAGTAGTGAAATTCTGGGTTCTGGACATGTATGGTACAAAGTCTTGGAGTCTTCCTCGCTTTCTACAGATATCTAATTTAGTCATATTAAATACTGAATTAAGTCAATGAAATCATCAGTTAAAGCAAAAAAAAATCATGCTGCAACATGAAATAAATGCTCACACAGTCAGGAAGAGACTGTAATAAAGTTTATTATAGTGACTGTACTGCTGTTTTCAGCAAGAAATGCAGTTTTTATTCATCAGTGTTCTTTTTAGTGACCAAAAGATTTTTTTTGTATTCTCTCTGTTTTTGAGTATTGCAAGGTGAAAAAGAAGTAGGGAAGATTAGAACTTTATAATAATATGACTTCGTTTCTCACATACCTTGTCTAGGCACTGCTAATTTGGCTCATTCTAAATGAGAACTGTACCAGAGTAAATTGAATTACTTGTCTTCTTGTAGAAGGCCAACTTTAAATCTCTTGTTGATATTTAATTTAACAGAAAAAACATTAGATGTGTTGCTTTTGGCAAGACAACAAGCCATAAAATTTTACGTAGCATGCAATACTATGAAGTTGGTGCCAACTGTACACGAATATTCTTTAATTGGTGGCAATTCTCCAAGTAGTCATTGGCTTGATGAATGACACAGAAGTGCCCTCCCCTGCCTCAACCTGCATGTCGATGTGTTGGGTTCCTTTCTGAAGAAAATGCCTGTGAATATAGCATACCAACCGTTTTGCTTAGTTGGATAGAATTTGCAGTTAAGCCTCTCTTTGCTTAGCTTTGCTATTCTCACCATCTGCTTCTGGGTATGAATTTTCACTGACTTGTTTGGTATACGTTTCCAAGCTGTTTACAGAATATGAGCCTAATGAGCTGATCCTATTATATTGAAGGTAAAAACCTGTGTTTTATAGGCCCTGATGGAAAATTACATACTGAATGTTTTATACCTTCTCTGATACATTTTTAGAAATAAAATGTTAACATCCCAAATCAGTATGATACATGGCACTAAGTCCATGTGTAGGAGGAGTTTTAACTGAGTGCCACCAAACTGTGAAAAAACCTGCAAAAGCTGTTCTTGTTTATATTTTTTTTCAATTTTAAAACTGTTTGACTATAATTACTAAGGAAAATGATTTTTTTAAAACTATATTTCTGTTCTAAACCACAAAAAAGCACCAAAATGTTTCAGATATTTTCAGCCTCATCTTTCTAGTGTAAAAAAGGAATATTCATTAATGCCTCTTTGTCAAATACAAATTTCTTATTGAAACAGAAAGCTCCTTATTTTCCCCTTCATATCCCCAAAATATTAATGATTTTGATTACCCGTCCTGAAGGGGATCTGATACCCACAGTGTTTTGAGCTTGCATTTTCTCAGTGTTAATCTAAACAGAGCAGACAGAAAGCGATATATATATTAGGTGACAAAACTGAGCTTCAACTGACAAACAACACTCAGAACAGACATACAGATATTTCCTTCGAAGTTGAGAGTCCATAAATCCCTGATTTACACACTGCACATGTCTAGAAGAATAATGGTTTAAAGGCAGGAGAAAGCTCTGCGTGTATGCTCCAATAATTATTGCTGTCAATCACAGCTGGTTTTAAGATATTTTCTTCTAAGAAATGATACATTGGTCTATCTGACATATCTAGAATAGTAACTTTGGAGGCTGAAGTCAGTACCTTGAAAGTTTGAAACATCCTACAGAGCATATGATCTGGCAGTTGTTCCCCCCCCCTTCCATATTTTAGCCTTATTTCTCATGTTAGATACTGATCTTTTATTAAAAAAAAATTACATTAAATGCTATATATAATCTGGAGATTAAAGTTCAGCCACTAAGTTTTTGTCCACAAGGCATAGATAGAAAAATACACCCATCTTTGTTACTACACGAAGCAGTTGAGTTTAAAGTTGTCATACATTTACAAGAATAAAATTTTAGCAAAAATAATAATTCATAGTTTCTTGAAAAATCCCCATGTATTATTTTATTAATGCCTGTCTTTCATTTACTGAGATAATCAGCTGATTTTCTCTGCTGGATTTTAGGAATATGAAGCAATATTTAGGTTGCTTATTAGCACTGGTTCCTTGCTGGGATCAAATTCTGAAGTGAGTTTACATAGATTGGACATGAGTGCCATGAAATGTCTTGGGAAATTATTTCGAAGTGTGCAAGGGTGTTTCCAAAGGGGTCCCAGTCCCTTGGAAAAATATCAGCTGAAATGGAGATCTTTAATCAGGTTATTACCTTGATTTTTTTTCTCTTTTAGCTTACCCACAAATCATCCTCAGTCCATCAGCCCTTTTTATTTTCGAAGAAAATCAACAAAGCGTACATGTGCATACACTGAGGATATTAGTAGTGAACAACTACTGTAGTAGTGAACAATTAATTTATTTTTTGCTGCAGACTGTCTGGTATTAATTTATTTCAGTGTGAAAATAAATTATTTGGAATGTTGAAGGTGCTCACAAAGGAATGTTACAGAGAGATTAGGAAATTACAGAGGAAAATTCTGCTTAATAATTGGATTCCATCAGTTAGTGTATAACTTCTAACGACAGCAGTAGCAGTATATGCAAAAGCAATCATGGAATAAGACCTTTCATTTACTATCCTGTAAAATTAATGAACTTGAGATGAAACTTCTGTTGTTTTCAATTTGCTCCAGCAATTAACTAATCATGCACAAATTGAAAAATCATAATTATTTGCAGGGCACAAGTCTGATATTTAGATAGAGAGAAGAAATTGCTATTTAAAACATAAATTCTTTAAATTAGAAGACAGTATTAGAATAAACGTGCTGGTCATTGTGTTCACATCTGAATAAGCATCCTCGTGTCATTTTTATTTCTATGCCAGGTCTTTACCTTCAGAATTGTTGATTTGTTCTTCTGTTGTCCATATTACCTAGTAGTGCAGTGCAATAGCTAGAATTACACATTTTAACAGGAGAATAGTGATGTTCATTCTAATTTGCCCTCATTGATGGTGTCACAGTAATGCTCCAGGACACTATATCCTTAATCAGTCAAATCCAATCAAGGAATTCAAGTACTTCTAAACATTTTAAACTGTAGATTCTACTAAAATCTTACTTACTACATTGAAACTTATGTGTCTGTTTTAGTTCAACTACCATTATACATAAAAAGGAACTGCGTAAGCAGTTCTTAAGAAACAATGTCTAGAAAGCGTACAAAAAGTACAAAACGTAAGGCAAAATTTGCAGGCAAACAGAAGCTCAAGTACAATCACTGTAAGACGTAGCAAGCGGTAGTTTCCACCTGTTGGTCTGAACAAGTAATAGACTTTTATCCTGCTATTGGAGCTAATTTTGAAAATTGAAGTGTTTTAGTAACTATGACTGTAACTGCCCGTGGGCTGTTATTAAGTACTAATGTATTTCTTTTGAGGTTGCTTTATTCTCTTGAACTTTACAAACCCTTTCTTACAAATAAAATAGATGTAATGACTTTCTGTATTTTCCAGTCCTGATGCTTGTTCCTCTTGAATGGCTGTGATCTGATTATACAGTTGTGTTTCTAGGGCTTTTTTAAACTAACAGATAACCAGCAGAGTGCAGAATGTTTGGAAAAAAGTTTTTAGGAAGCTGAAGGGTTTAATGTGTGGTTTAACGTGTTCAGATCTTATCCCAAGTGTGTTTGCCATAAGCTGGTGGGATAGTTCATAGGGCCTTCGGGTTTTTAAGTTTTTACTTTTAATTAAACCTTCTGAGCTAGAAAGAAGCCAGGTCTAGGATTGCTAGCAGGATACTGCCAAATGAGCAAACCTTTAGGTGGTTTAAAGCAGAAAAACCTGAAACTGGGATTTTGGTTGAAGTAAAATTTGGATGTACCAGAGCTTTGCATTACCACCCCTGATACTAACCTAAGAAGGCTGCAAGATTAAATGTTTTGAATTGAAATGGTGATAATAAGGGATAAGTTATCGATGTAATACAACTGATGAACACCAACGATTAGTTCTCTATCTCTACATCCCTATGTCTGCTTAGTGGTTAACTAAAGTTGAATTGTAACCAGTTATTTTAGTTTTGTTATTATCCTATCAAATTGTTCATGATGCATGAAATCTGTAGAGAGCTGGGATCCAAATACTGAAGTCGTAGCCAGTAGTTAATAGTAATAGGATGTGACAGAAAAGAAGGCTTTTGTGTAGTTGGTTATCAGGTGGCAAACGGCTGATCATAGTATGTGAAAGCTTCTAACTTTTCCTTTGAACATTTTCCTTTTTAACTAGCATCCTTGCCTAATGTAGACCTTTTGCAGAGCCTTTTAAAGCCTTTGTATGGAATTTTAAATTAATATTGAAAGATTTAGTTAACATAGTTTGATAAATTTAATGGACTTCTTGATAATTGTTTCAGCAGGTAACACTCCTTGCAGTAATTTTTAACTATCGCAGGTTTTTATAGTGAACTCGTAATTTTTAATATGTAGTTGTGACCTACTGGCTGTAACATAGAGTCATGCTCTGTGTAATTGCAGAGTGGGTTTTATTAACCAGATTTTTATAGGATAATATGGCTCTTAAACAAAAGATATTAGTAGGAGTCTGTGCTTTATGTTGAAGGATTGATGTAATTAAAACCAAGCAATAGTGAAGGACAGGAAGTGCTATCGTTTCTGGTGTGTGGTTAAGGCTTGATCACACGTGATTGATAAATAACGAGTCTGATTTTCAAAACATTATACTGAATATAATTGGAAAGGGTGTATATAGACTTGTCTAAACTAAAACATTAAAATTAAGAAGTGAATTAAAAGCTATCATTGAATACCACTGCCAATGTGTATTCTTCATCCAGTAGAATAAGTAACAACATTATAAATAGAGGTTAGATAATGATCAAATTAAATATTTAATAGGAAATTGCATCTATAATTTTGTGGTTTTTTTCAGGCAGGATAACTTGTAGTTTGATCCATGGGTGGGGATCCCTACTGGATTGCAGGCATGAAGAAGTTGATTCTCTTTGGTTTTGGTATAGGAGGTAGCTAAAATTATGACTTGATATATCTCAGTTATACTGCAGTATCTCTTCTTTAGGCAGTGCTTGTGAAGCAATGAAGAATAATTTTTCTTATAAATGTTTTACCAATTGGTTTGGCACTTGAAAATTAAAAAGTCTATGTAACAAAGGAAGCTGTATCACGTAGTTCGGTTTTAACCATGGAAATTCTGGGAAGGCCAGTTACAGTAGTCATGTTGGGACTTCATTTTGAATATAGAAGTAACATTATTACATTTTTACAGCGAATTGAAACAGCATTGTTTAATGAGCTTTTTTTTCAAGAACTGTCCCCTGAATAATTTTTTCATATGTCAGAGGAATAAATTTTCATGATGTAAACAATCACCAAATTTGAAATTCTTATTCTTTGCAAGAAAACTTGTTGTTTGCTATTTTTATGTCATGGATTAGTTATTCAGCTAACAAGCTGAGTCAAACTAAGTAGTTTTAACAATCCCTTTTCCCTTCAAAACCCATGGCTATTTTTACAACACTTGAAGTACTTCCTGGGGGATATCTGCTAGGGGATACAATGACAATTGTGTGCTATTACCAAGACAAACTGAAAAATTGATAGCTTAATAATAAAAGTTAGGGAGGAGACAGTTTGTTTCTAACACTATAGGAATGAAGAAGGAGGTGAAAGGATGCTAAGAAATGAGCAGAAGGATGATTGAAATTGTACCTTACATAATTGTTAAACTTCATAGTCAAATAATGACAAACTGTGTATGTATGACCACCTTGTTATGTTGTCTGTGCCGCCTTTGTTTTGTTTTTGTATATAAAGCATTATGAAAGTCTTCAGTTAAATAATCAATCTTAGGTTATTTTTTTCCTTTAAGAACTCTCCGCTTTCATGTAACATGGACCTGCTCTGGAAATGAATGGATGTTGCATTGCTGGAGGCTGTTGTCTCCTACAGCTTGGTCTTACTTGTTGCAGACAGAGAACTTTATGAAGAGAAGGATGGTCTTGGGATATATAAGCAGTTGAATATTGCAGTGGAGAAATGTATTTTATGTACACTTCAGGAGTAGAAGTGTTTGCACAATTCTATGCACTTTTCTTAACTCAGCCTTTCTGTGGTGTTCATCATTCTAAGAGCCCAACATGTGGCTTGCGATTTTCAGAAGAGTGAAACAATTTTAAAAAATAGATACATGAACTGAGCTAGTTTGAAGTGGTGGTCTTGAATAACTGCAGCATTTTTAGGACAGAAGGAAGGCTAGAGATATCAATTAATTTCAGAAAGTCAATTTAATATGATTTTTTTTATGTTGGTTTCTCTGCAGAACTATTCCTTGTCTGTAGGAGAAGTCTATTGGGGTGGTCTTTCCTCTGTGGGGAAGATGAAACAAGAAAATCATTATTGTGAAATTCTATGATGCTTCCAGCATGTCCAGTTATGATTTTTCAGCAGAGTTACATGTGTCAGATTTTACTGATGTGTTTAATACTGTTATTTCTGATCAAAAAATAACCTTGTAGAAAACAGAAATTTGGAGTTCTGTTTTGGAGCATTCTAGTGACCCCTCTTTGGTTCATTTTCATCCCAGTGTCTTCTGCCCTACATTGGCTAATAAACTCCACTCTCAATACTTTATCCTCTATATTTTACAGTTCTTTCTTCACTTTTTCTGAGTACCAGCAGGGACTGAGATTTAATGCTACAGGATAAATGGTTTGGCTATTTAGTACCACAAAACTCTGCAAGCTGAAGCAATTGGCTGGATCACACTGGGCATATATACAGTATCTAGAACGTAACTGCTACAGTGCATCTCTTCTCTTCAACAGCACTGAATACCGTAGTTGACATTTTTATAACATCTTTTCTTTTTTTAATCTGCTTACCAGAACACTGAAAATGAAAATGATTTTTTGGGAGGTTGGTTCAGAAGTTTTGAAGCACAGTAGTTTGATGTGTGAGAATCTATTTATGTGAACTGCACATTTGTGTTAAGTTATTTGTGCCAAAACATTTTCAGGATAAGAGTGTAAACATTTTACACACACCCTATTACGCTTTCTCTGGGTGATTTTAATTTAGTCAGAAATGGTGAATATTGAATTTTCGGCAAAAGCAAAGCTCGATCAAAACTCAGCTCAAGGGATAAAGCAGAATTGTAATTGAGACTGAGAAGCAAATTTTCACTATTTCTTACTTAAACTCAATGCATTGCTTCAGAATTAGATCAAGTCTTTTCTTTATAGGTGTTAATTTAGTACACACTCTACCTATCAGACAAATAATGGAGACAATATGTGAGAATATAAAATATCTGCAGTGATAATCAGTGTTGGCTTAAAGCGAGTGAGAAGCTTTGATTAAGTAATTTCTGAAACAGTGACCCTTAAGTCCAGCCTGAGTCTATAGCAAGTATTGCACAGGCAGACTGATCTTTTGGGGAACGCTGTCACTACTTTCACCTGAGTTTACACTTTCTGGGAATACTGTTAGTATTTAACCACAGTGTAAGCTTCAAGCAGAGGTTGTAAGTCAGACTGTTTCTGATTTGTCTCTTCCTTCCACTTCCCTGTTTTTCTTCCAGTCATAGAGGCTCTCAGGAAGAGAGGCATTGGAAAGTACACTCTGAAATCAAATAGAAAAACATTTAGATGCCACTTAAGCATTTGTGTTGCAGTGTATATTCTCTATCATTCAGTGGGGACAAGGTGGGATTCTAAAGGAAAGTTCTTACTACTAAGAAAGGTTTAGTTTACTGCAAAGCAACGAACATTTTCTAATATTCAGATGCGCAAGTTTTTACATTAAGAAATTATTTATATTTATGAAATGTAAACAAACTAAAGCTGTTACAGAACATGATGTTTTTTGTCTTCTGAATACTTTGCTTCTTTTAGTTTTCATTCTGTAAAATTCAAGCTGCAGATTAATTCTTAAATGCTTCATGTTTTCTCTTTTTCTGAAGGGCAAGTAAAGAGTTCAAAAACGTTTGAGCCCGTGAAAGCAAATCCTTTATTTTGAAATGTTTCCTACCTGGTTGGCATGATAGTTTTGAAGCCTTTGAAAGGTTGTACAATGCTATATGAACATGTTTGGCACCCAGAAGGAAAAACACGCATATGCGTCTGACTGTAGAATGCAAGATTTCTTTTTCTCTTCCCTCCAGTGAGACTGATCAGCATTTTTATTTCTCCCACAGGGGTTGTTCAGAACTTTGTCGTATACCCATGGTGGAATACAAACTTGACAGTGAAGGCACCCCATGTGAGTATAAAACCCCTTTCAGAAGGAATACCACTTGGCATCGGGTGCCGACTCCCGCTGGGCAGCCTCTCTCTCGTGCCTCTCCAATCCTAGGAACATCTGACAGACTGCAGTGCCAGCAGCTGCTCCAGCAGGCTCAGACAGCCATTCCTCGCAGCACTTCCTTCGACAGAAAACTGCCAGATGGTGCAAGGTAATACACTCTCGGTTTAATGCCTGTCGTTTTCCTAATGGGCCTTCCTTCAGCTATCTCAGCCTTCTAGAACTTTGGTACACTTGATTTTTAAACTGTGTCTTGTGGAGTTTTGACAGTAATTTTAATTCTGAGGTTATAATAAAGAGCATTCACTAAGCCCAGCTCCCTCGACTTGGAACAAGTGACTACTGTTGTTTGTGATGGAAGTGGGCTGTACTGAGGATCCTACTGCTGAGAACAGATGACCTTTCCCTTTAGTCCCAGATTAATAAAGTAGGAAGCTGCCTTGTGACTTTTTGATCTAAACAGTATCCTGTCCTGCACCTTTTGGGAGCCTATTTAAACAAATAATGAGTGTAAATAGAATGAACTCATCCCTTTAAAAATGAATTATTTAATCTTGTTACAAATCTATTGGCATAGTTTCAAAGGGTTCTGTAACTCATTACCAGTCCCTTATGCTTTGCTTTGCTTTTAATTAAACAAAGCAGAGCTTGTGATTTGAATATGTGACACCTCTTAGGTGATGGGATGGTATCCTTAAATGTTAGTTCTGTTCTAATTTAGTCATAATTCTTCATAAGATAAACATTTATTCTTAACATTAAAAATTTGAAACTACATTTGACCTTTGAACTATTTAGGAAAACCGTATGTCATGATCAGAACTCTCTGTCCTTTTTTCTGCTTATGCCCTTTTTCCATGGGGTGATGTAGTTCTAAATTTCCAAGGAAGAAAATACCGCATGTTGAAAACATCTAATTGATATGAAAATCCAAAATACTAATCTTAAATAGCTTTAAAATATTCTGTATGAAATAATGAAATATTGCTATTGTTACACTGTCTTATTTAGTAGAAAAGAATTAGTGACTTTTTACATTGTTTGCAATATATACAGGTAATAGTAGGACATATTTGAAAATACATCTATATCATGGTCTGAGGAAAGCAGACTTCTGGTTATGACCATTTGATCATTCATATTCTCCTTCTCCTCGTCCCTCTCCTCATCCTCTGAAAAAAGGAGACATGCATTTCTGTATGCATATATTTAACTTTGTAGGGCTTGAGCTTTTCCTAATGTCTTGTTACTGAAATTCTCAGTAACTTCTATCATAAGGAGACAATGTATCAAATGTCTAGAAATATTCAGGATTTATGGGTCTGTATTAAGCATACTGTATGTCTATACAGAGGTAAAAAAATATGAAAGCTTTTTGACATGCCACTCATTTCCAAAAAAGCTTCACAATCATAAGTTGCACTTCTAACACACAGTGAAGCATGTGAAAAAGTGCTAATACAGAGGCTATCTCTTGCCATGAAGAAATTCCTTTATCACTTAAACAAAACAAGTACAAAGAAGCAGTGCTGTTCTGGGGAAGACATGGTACAGAGTATAAATAATGAAAAGAGAGGAAGATGATGAACTGTGACATGTGGGTCTGGAATCACAAAAAGAAAAGTACCTAATTAGCAACCTCTTTCCACATGGGAAGAAGCATAGTTGATGGCCTAGCAGAGAGAAGGGCTTAAACCAAAAGAGTTTGAAGTAAGGTTGATGAGTAGTTATAAGAAGTCTTGCAAGGGTGAAAATGTGTACTCAGGATAGGAAAATGATGAAGGGATTTTAGAGGGTCAGAGACCCAATATCAATTTAGACAAATTGAAGAGTGCAGGCAGAGAGAAGCAGGTTGATAAACCAGGGAAGTTATAGCAACTGATCTGAAAATGAGCAATCACATTGAAGTCTGTGATAAAATGGTTGAGTTTAGAGATAAAAAGAGGAGGAAGCCACAAAAATATGAGCTAGATATAGTAAAAGACTTAATAACCAACAGTTCAGCTATTGTGGCAGGTAATGGCTAGGTGCTCAGTCCTTGGCATGAAATTAAAAACTGGAAGGTGAACACTGATGTTCCTAGTGCAGTTCTCTCCTGAGGAGAGTTAAGTGCTTTGAGAAGGCAACCCAAATGTTTTTGTGTTGATCAAGGAGTTTGTCTAATTAGTCACTAAGAAATACAAGGACATCCTTGAGCTCTACTCCTCTTTTTACAAAATACTTAATTTTTTGACAGCTACTCATAGCAAGTGACTGAAAGTGAAGCTTCAGACTCACTCTTCTGCCTTTTCACACCAAGAAGCCTCCATGTACTTTAGTCTTTGAGTCACACTTGTAGGCAAATGTGTCCTTTCACCTGGAGGACATCCATTCTCAGGAATCCATTCCTGAGAACAGTCAACTGCAGCTCTTCTGTAAAGGAACTTTGAGGCATTCACTAACTAGATTTTTGTGGTTCTTCTTTTGTAGTAGCCACGTTTAGTTTAGTAGGCAAATGGCTAGATATTTGTCAGGAGGCTTGAGATGTAGATATTCTTCAGCCTCAGATAATACAAACTAATGTCCTGGTTTAGAGTACATTATCCTAAACATCAGTCTGGAGACTTGAAACGCATGGGATCATAACTTACCTCTTCCATCATGCTGATTCACTTAAGCTGTGCAAAAATTGCAAAGTTATTAGTGGAAAGAGGCAAGGACATGCAGTTAAATTCAACTGCAGCCTATAGGCTATTGCACTTGGTTGAGAGTGACTCAGTCCTGTCAATACTTATCAGAGACGTGCTGAAAAATCAGGCACTACACTGCCTGCTGATTTTATAGGCGTTTGACTGTTAGACAAAATATAATAGCAAATGTCTTTATAATTTTCAAACTGAACAGTAAGGTTGCTTATTGAATGTCGTGTCCTTGGGAAAGTGTGCATAAGACCCAAACTACCTCTTTTCACCTCTTTCCTGAGTACATACATTCACTTCTGTATATAGCTTTAAAAAATATGAAAAAAAGAAGGCAGATACAGGAAATTCAAGGTAATGTCACCGAGCAAAATTATATTGTAGTTACATACTAATAAGCACAGAAGGGCATATATATAGGATGTTGATCAAAACAAATTTGAACATTGGAAGAGTAGTCAAAGTCACTGTTAAGATATGAGGCTCAAAAAATTAAATAATAAGTAAAAAAATAATACTATTCATGAAAATGTTTTCTTGCTGCTCTTCCATGTCAAATAATCAATAAAATAAAATATAAAAGTATTGGTATTACCTCTTCTAAATTATTATGTTGAAAATTGGAATACATGCAAAGCATGTATTCCATTTCTGATCCATCATGACACCTTCCCGCACACAAATTTAGAGACCTAACTGAGCTGCTCTGACTCCTGAGTAACCTCACTTATGCAGAAGTAGAACTAGATATAAGAAAAATAGGATTTGGCACTTAGTCTTTCTTTTTTTTGTGCCTTATTTATATGTCCAGTTCAAAATATTTTACTAGTGATAAAATAAACAGTATGCTTTAAAGTATTTGTTTAAGTTTTATGAAACTAAGATGAAACTGTAAATGTCCAAAATGAGTATACCTAGGTGTTCATAATGCATTATTCGTAAAACTGAATGTATTTTATAAAAGAAGCACAGCCCAGCTGAAATTTAAAACCCCCACAAATATGTCAGTGCTCTGTTAATGACTCTAGTCAACATTGCAGAAGTTCTCCGAGCAACCAGTCTTCCTCCAGTGACCCAGGACCCAGCGGGAGCAGCCAATGGAGACAGCAAGTGGGATATGACGGGTATCGGTGAATTTTTAGTTTTTATGTTAAATCTTGATATAGCTCCCATGCATCTCCCATGCATCTTCTTTCCGACGCAAAATTTATGTGGATGTTCTGTATCATAGATTTATTTGCAAACTCTGTCAATATATTTTAAGGTGTACAGGTTCATCATTTCTTACTGTAATACATATATCATTACAATTTCAAAGCCCTACTGCTTTAACTCTTTAGGATCACATTGTTATTTCACAATTCTGGTAGAAAAGCAAACAGTTCTTATGTTTGGTTTCCCAGAAGCAAGACAGAAATCAACTAGTATCTCAGAACTGGAGTAAAATAGTAATATCTCCTTCTTTTGCTTCAGTAAAAGTGTATTTGTTTAAAAAAATACCTTTATGGTTTTCAAAGGTTTTATCTTCTACTGTGCTTTTTCCAGTGGCATCCATTCCCTAACACCTCACCTCAAAAAGCAGCAGTCTTTCAGAGACCTCTTCTCCCTAAAAGGCTATTGTGCTATATAGATTGTCCTTTCACATCCCTGTTAGTCCCTTGGTGCTGAAGTTTAAGAAGTTAGCTATCTCTGTGTGAAAGACCACCTCAATATACTGTCCATGTTATAAGAATGTTATGAGACATCTGTTCTAAATTACTTTAAAATTATTGCCTTGTTGCATAAATACAGCTGCTGAAAACACTCCTGTTCTAAAATGTTCAGCTATGGCAGTATCTACGTAGCATAATATAAAAGCCTTTCAGGCTTGCCACGTGGCTTTCAGAAGCTACTTTTCGGAAAAAAAAAAAAAAGTAGATATTGAAAACATCAGGTTGACTCCTTGTCTCTAAGTTTAATATTGCTTTGGCATAACTGTGACTAAGATATTCCATGTAGCAGATATATATGCAGTATCTTGGAGACTCCTCAAGGAATTTGAAAATAGTCACTGAGATCTCTGGCAGCTAAATAGATGCTAATAATTTAAATAAAACTATAGCTATTTTTTTGACAGTAAACACGCAAAAATGCATCATGTGTCATTTTCCCAGCACAGTTATTTCTAACAGCAACCTTGGTTTTAGCGTGTGCTTTGTGAAATAATTTAATTTTTGCAATACAATACAAAGCGATGGATCTGGTACTAGCTTATGTATTCTGAGTTCTGCAGATGAAAACCTGCAAAACTACAGAATTATATTCTGTGGGCCTTAGTTCATAAAGCAGTTAAACATATATAACTATAGTTCTCTATTGCAAAAACCTTTGAATATATAGCCCCAAGAGTAAAAAGTGGTGTTGTTTATTATGTAACTATTTTCTAGGACAAAAACTACAACAGCTTAATTTTCTGTTTATGTTAAAAGGTGTCAGTCCCCTTTGCTCCATGAACACCATCAAGGTTCAGGCTCACTGGAGTGTGAAGGAGGCAGAGAGCGAGAGGAAACTTTGGAAGGAACTAGACATTCTGGTAATAAGAATTACTGCATTTTAAAAATAAGTGTTCTTTGCGATGGAGGGCCAGTTGAAATGCATCCACCCTCTGATGTTGAGGTTTGATACACAAAGAGCATGTAATATGACAGTGAAAGATGGGACTGTTACAGGCAGTCTAACAGAATATGATGTGGGATATTTCGGTAATACTTTCAAAAAACTACTCCTGAACTTCAGAAAGCCTTATGAATATTGAAGAGCAGGTTGAACTTCGTTTAATTATCATTGAAAATCTAGATCTTGGTAAATTCTGCAAAGATATATGTCTTTGATTCCGGATAGTGTGCACATTTGAAACCTGGTGCTAAGCCATATGCCTTTTTTCTTTGTACAGTGTACTCACTTTTTTAGCATTCAGAAATTAAAATACAATTATTTATGGCAGAAACCAAGTGGCATGCACCATCGACCAAAGTCCTGAGCTCCTACAAAGACCGGGCTTTACAGAAAGAAGGCAGTGGCAAGGAGTCACCAAACAAGCTTTCACATGTAAGTCTTTTACTTGGATGTCATTCAAAACTCTAAAAAAACCCCAACCCAAAACTCACACTCAACTTAAAGGAGTACATCTTAAAAATACCTTTTGACAAAGAGTATGTTCACCAGTGTGTGGAATGAATTGAGTGTGCTTAATCTGTGTTTATAAACTAAAAGCTCCAAGAGGGCTTGAGTCTGGGGCTTTGAGGTGATAAAGCTAGTATAGTTTACACTCACCTGTGTATTTACAGCTTCATTTATACTGGCTTGCTTAATCTAGGAAGTATTTCATATCCTTTTAAAAATAAATAAATTTGTATTCACCGTATCAGTTGCCATGTTGCGTGAAATACCCATGTAGTATAATTATCAATAAGTACTATAAAAATGTAGCTTCTGTGTGGGAACAGATTTCTTGTTAGTGGCTTGTCTTCAGTAATGGCAAAATCCTCAGTGACTTAGTGATGGAAAGTACACTAATGATATGCACAGTCTTTTTCTATTTTTTTTGGTGTTTGTTACATGGAAAAACTTGCTGTATGTAGTAGGAATCTGTACACAATTTGTAGATTTACATTGGTAAGAATATGAGGCCATTTTCTTATTTTGTCTAAATTGATGCCTTATGAGAATCTAGCTCCATACTTCTCAAAAAAAAGTACTATCATAAACAGAAGCATGTTGTAGAATTATGCATGTGAAGAAAAAAATAGGGTTTTTTACTTTAAACCAAAGCTGACAGACAGCTAGAATCAGTATATGAAACAATCAGTATTAAACAGAGCACCAATACCAAAGTTAAATAATGAATTTGCTTAGCTTCAATCAGAGTTCTATGCTAGCGGAAGCTCTTTTGGTTTTTGGATGTTGAGAATCTGAACGGAAAATTTCGTAATTGGATTATGTTTGTGTTTGCATACGTGTAGTGCAGGTGCAAAATAACTATGTTATACAGAGTAAGAACCAGCTTTATTATAAAGACAATACTAATAAAATGAGGCTATTTTGTTGTTAGCTACTGTAAAGCAAAAAAAAAAAAAGGTCATCACCTTGTAATGTTCTCTTGTACATCACCTTTTTGTTCAGCTCAACTTGCCACATGAATGTCTGCCAGCCAGTAAAATTCACACTGAAGGCCACAGCAGATATACAAGAACTCTGTAAAATATTTGAGCATTAGAAGAAAAGTCTAGGCTGTCTTGGGGACATGCTGAACTTTCATACAAAATTCCTCTTGGCACAGGGAAATGCATAAAATGATTTAAGCTATTGCCATAGTGAACTTCAAGCAGTTCAAGATGTCTGTATCAATAGCTGTTGTCCAGATTCTCTGCTGCCTGCAGGATCAGGAAGGAGGCTAAGCATGTACGTTCAGCAACATAGAAGAAATTTTTTGAGAGGTTCATACATGCACCGCATCTTTTGAGTCTAATTTTATGCCTTTGAGCTTCCCATCCTTGTTTCTTTCCATTTTGGTTCCCTTCTACGTATACAGTAAGAAGTGACGTGTCTTTTCTCCAGATACCTTTCTCCAAGTCCCTCTCCTTGGAAAATCTTCTTATTGTATTTTTTTCGATAGTTCAGTTGTTTTTAAGGTGACAGCCATCTTGTAAAGGCTAAAAAGAATGTAAATGTAACATCTCCTTTATTTTCTAAAATAAATTCCACAAATTTTGAGGCCTCTTAATTTCCATATGGAGTAGAGGTATCATTTCTGGAAAGGCTGCCCTGTCTAACTGCTTTAATGTGTGAGCAACAGTTATGTTTATATGTGTCTGCTAGGAGGGCGATCTTGTAAGAAAGTTAGTCACTCTTCCCACTTCTATTACCTAATAGAAGTCCATCTGCACTTATTCTGGCTACTCTGTGACGTAGATAGATTGGTCCAACTCTCTATAAAATTTCTTCTAATAACAAACAAACAAAAAACCCACAAACCCAAACTTTGTTGACACAAGTGCCTGACATAATTATTCCACTTTAATAGCCATGCTTAGCTTAGAGCCCTCTGACTTGATTTACTTTCAGCTGGTACACATATATTGCAATTGGCTTCAATTTAACTAGCCACACATCCAATTGGATTTGATCCAATTAGCTGCATATTTCGCCAACACTGAGAAAAAGCCGATGATAATTCAGTCATCGGTATTTTTCAGATTTGCAGTAGAGCTTGTTTAAACAAGTAATTACCAATGCTTCTAGCTTTAACAAATCCTTATTTTAAGTGTTCAGAAATGCAATTTTATGGATGTTAAGCAGGTTCTATAATCAGAAAACTCAAGTGTGATCTTAAGATTTGCCATAGAGGATGGAACTAGACCCTTTTTATTTGCAGTGACATCAGCCTTTAATGTGTCTAGCCAGCTGTGCAATTCACTTCACAGAAACTGGTGGTATAATTAGGTTTTTTCATACTCTGCAGTTCTATTATACTGTACTGTAAAAAAGAATAAAATGGTCTTTGAATGGCGTAAATTCAGTAATTTATATGAAAATAAATATTTTAATATTTAACTTGAGGGCGATCTTTTTTGTTTGTTTTCTTGTTCCTAAGATTGGAGACAAAAGCTGTTCAAGCCACTCAAGCAGCAACACCTTATCCAGTAATACATCCAGCAACAGTGATGAAAAACACTTTGGTTCTGGAGATCTGATGGATCCTGAGCTGCTTGGATTAACATATATAAAGGGAGCTTCTACTGACAGTGGAATTGATACAGCTCCCTGCATGCCTGCTCCTCTTCTGGCCCCTTTGCACCTTGCTGGCAGCAGGTCTGGAGTACATTGTCGTGCTGAGCAGTGGACCGAGTCTTCTGAAACTCCTGGGCCAGATGATGATCCAGCAAAAATCTATGCTGTTCATAGCTACGCCTCTGCCGTTTCTACCAGTCATACAGCTGAAGGTAGCATGGGAGACCTAAGTGAAATCTCCTCTCATTCCAGGTATGTGTTTCTGACAAATTAGGGGTTGGGGTTATAGATTAGCATACAGAGAACTTGTTTTCTTTGTGGTTATTCTGTTTACCTTTCTTTGAAAGTGCACTTAACGGAGTTTGATTTCTTGTTGTGCTTAAATGCCGATATTAGCAATTTTCAGGCAGTTTTTGATAACTCTGCCTAATCAGAGATCTGATGGAGGTTTTATATGTGACCTTGTGTACATTGCTTAGGTTTTCTTAAGTTGGGAAACATCCCTGAGTAAAAGTGAAGCTTGCACCTAGAACTTAATTCCACATACTTTTCGTTTCATTGGTTGAGTTTTAGTACAGTGCAGCAAACTACCAGAGAGTTAGTGCTGAGGGAAATAAGAAAAATTGCAGTGGACAATTTGTACATATAGCAGTGGACAATTTGTACACATAGTATGCATTGCATACCAACCCCCCTCCCCCAGATTTACATTTTTGTGATGTGTGCTTCACAGTTTTGTTTGTTGGATTGAATTTCTGGTTGATTTTCAGCTCTTCTTTTTGTTACCAATGGAATGTGTAGATAGTACATATGTTGTACAGCAAACTTTGAAAGTACACTTTTACAACTGCTTGCCTTAGTCTCTCAGTTCCCATTTTAGAGTGGCTTTGAAGTTGAAGCTTTAGTCTATGTCTCAAGGTGTCTGCTCAGCAAATGATGGAAGGAAATTGTTCTTCTTTCCCTCTGATTTTCCCATTTTCAATGTCAAGCAGTATAGGAAAATAACCAAATAATATTTTGCATCCTCATTTTTTTAATATACTTGACATAGTATATAAACTTGACTGAATTAGTACTGTATACTTACTCTGAATTCTAGATTTTTTTTCCCCCCGAGTTGTAGAAGATAGTATAGACTATTGTATAGAGTGTTGTGAAAACTAGGTACATACTTTTGCATTAAGCTTTCTCTACCCCCATGATAATGCAGAAGCTCCAGATTTACTCTTGCTTTGTGTGTGGTGAGATTCAATTTTACATATTGAGGCTTATAAAGTGCTAGAAATAAACTCTGTGTTTGTAGGACTTAATCATAATGAGTTAAAATAGATTGTTAATGGCTAGAATATGTATTCTCAGCACTTGTGTGGCAGCTGTCGTATTTAAAGTGCCAGGCAGCCACTTCAATGGGGAAAAAAAAAAAAAGCATGTAGGTTTTAAGTGAGTTTAACTAGGCATTTGCAAAGTAGTAATTATTGTTGAGTTGATATGTCACATTGAGATTGCTATTGCCAATGTGGAATTGGGCAATCTTTTGAAATTATCACCTTCTAATTTCTGTGCCAAATCCTTTTGCTATAGGAAAATATCTGACTTGTGACTTAAATTTAGACTTTGCTTACATATCCTTCAGATTACTTTGGAGTGATAAATAACTTTTCAGCTGAGTTTACAAGTTGGTATCACTCTATAGCACCCACAGGCATATATTATTAAAATATCTCATTTTATACTTATGATGCTGCAATACTAATATGTTCAAATAGACGCAAGTGAGTTAACATATAAATGCGTGATAATTGCTGCTGATTCCTTTATATATTTTGCAGCCAGACACTGGGATTGTGTTTCTTCATAGTCTATAATGATTAAATTCTAACACTATTGGTGATTAAATTGTAACACTGTTGAGGCATTCATTCACAATTATTTTATGAATGTTTAGTAGTAAACTTGTTCTGCAGTAGCTTAACAGTGTTAAACTCCCAAGAAAGAAGCCCACAGACTGGTGAACTGTCATTGATCTATTAATCCAACATTTCTTTATTGAAATTGTATTGTGTGTACTGAATAGATGAAGTGGTACGCGGGGCAGATGTTGGTTGGTTTAAAGATACTGGCCTGATTCTCTAATGTCATCAGATAAAGAACACCCAGAATAAAGTAATACTATAGTGTCTAAGTAAGATTTGCAGAATTAAACCTGCCGTGGGAAGCAGTATCTCAAACTACAAGACTGACTTGAGCTATGCACAGTATTGTCTCACAGCTCTGATATTAATGGCTTTATTGCTACTGTTTTATATTCATTATGCATGTGAATTATCAAGTATCTTCACATTACTGTAGCTGAAGCAATTTAACTTCACTGCCTTAAGTTTTGCTTTGTTTCTCACCCAGAACATCTTTTTGGATCCTAAGAATATATACTGCTTGTTCCAATCACTGCATTGAACTCATTATCTAAAACTAGGCTTTTATGGGAATTTTATTTCCTCACTTCAAAAATATTGCCTTATTTAAAAACTACAGAATGAGGTCGGATGCTCAATTTTTCTTAAATTTATTTACAAATAGAAGACTAAAATCTTCTGGGTGATATCCTTGCTGTTAATCTAGCATGTATTTTACATTGTACTTCAATATTTGCTTCATCTTTAGATTTCAATTTTTCATAATGGAATTAGTTTCTTCACCACTTCTTTACAAAACTGATTTGCATATTTGCAAAAGCACAAAACCTTTTAATGTCACTGGCATTATTTTTCTTCCCTAAATGTCATCATCTTGTTTCTACTTTTTGAGGAGAAAGAGGGAGGATAGGAGAGAAAGTAAATTGCTTTGAGGGTTAAATGCACATACTAGCTGTCATCAAAATTATTAATCCATTGCCTTAATGATTCAACTTTCTTCCACCGTAGGCATTTTAATTTGATCTAGCAAAATGTGTACCTGTGCATTGCTTGTAGTGGACTGTGCACAGACAGCAAAGTAGCTTTGTCTGTTACACTTTCAGCAACACTGAAACATTCCTCTGTGAATGAATCCAATGCTGTTGGGATTGCATTAAGAGATAGCACCGTGTTCAGTATCCGTAAACCAGCAAGGAAAGTTAGGAGATGCTGTTTCATGTTTGAGCCTCTAATTGTAGGCAAGGCACTTGGTTTCTAAATGTTTGCTTGCTTCACCTCCAAGATGCAAAGACAAAATTTATTCTTAAAGGAAATGTTTGCTTCAGTTAGTTTTATATAATTTTGAGAGTCTTCAGTAAAAGGTTTCATTAGTGCCTATTAGTGCTATTATTCATAATAAAAGAGGCTATTAAAATTATACAGGGGACTGTTATTGAACTGGAATTTACCTCTGTTAATATTAAATTCTCAGTGGTACTGAATGAAAGACACAGCTTAAAGTGGTGTGAACTGTCAAAATTAACATGAAATGGAAAAGCACCTAGGTTTTATAATTAGAAATATATTTGGAGTAATTTCTCATGTAGTTCTTGATGTAAATGGACTTATACCATTAATAACGTGTGTGTACATGTTTAGTTAAAATCGCATGCACAAACTCTATACATATGTCTTTAACTTAGTCTTTTAATTTTAATTCATATGGGTTTGCATTTCAGGAAATTGAATTATATACGCTGCTTGTGCTAGAAGCACATCACAATTCTGTTCTCAAATTGCTTTGAGGGTGGTGAGACACTGGCACAGGTTGCCCAGGGAAGTGTCTGTCCCCTCCCTGGCAGTGTCCAAGGCCAGGCTGGGTGGGGCTTTGAGCAACCTGGTCTAGTGGGAGGTGTCCCTGCCCATGGCAGAGGGGTTGGAACTAGATGATCTTTAAGGTCCCTTCCAATCCAAACCATCCTTTGATTCTATACACTGCTGATGTGTAGAAAATTGCCAATATTGCTACCTAGATTTAAACCTTGAGAAAAACTTAATATGAAGACTTATAGCTGCATACTAGGCTAAGCTTTTCTGATTTTTTGTTATATAGCAGATTTCATTTTGCTTTTGTGTGTTTTCTTCACTTTTCCAGTGGGTCACATCATTCAGGAAGCCCATCAACACATTGCTCTAAAAAGAGTGGCTCCCTAGATACCTCCAAAGTCTACATAGTGTCACAGAACAGTAGTCAACAGATTTCTGGATCAGTTTCAAAACCATACCACAGACAAGGAGCAGTTAGTAAATATGTTATTGGATGGAAAAAGTCAGAAGGAAGTCCTACGCCTGAAGAATCTGAAGTTTCTGAATGCCATGAGTAAGAACTCTGTTTAATTTTGTTGGGGGAAGAAGGGTAATGACAAAAAATTTTAAAATAGGATAGAAAAACGAAAGATTAAATTCCATTTTACTTTTAAATGGTTGGAGGGGGAGTTCTGTACCTTTATATATCAAAGGTAATGGGTTTTTTTAAAAAAAAAAAGAAAAATAGACAGCAGCAGCACAGGATACTGTTTTCGCCACTGTTCTATCCAGTTATAGCTTTTCCCCATGTGTATAAAGGAAGCCCACAGAAATTTTGGAAAGTGTGTAGACAAAAACGTATGCCTGGCAGACATTCTGAATTTCCATTTTGAATCTCTAGGGAACAACTGGGAAGGAACAATTTTGTTAATGTCTTAAAGACGTTTTCTACAAATCTTCAGGAACTTTAGCAGGGAAAAAAGCTTACTTCCTGATATTTCTGTATTAAGCTGTGCTGCCTTGCTTGCCTATTACATTAGCTAATACATTACAGTTGAGAGAGTTGACCGTAAGTGTATTGGTGATGTCTGGTAGATAATTTAAGAACATTAGTGCCAGGTGCTGGCATTTTAGTTAGTATTTGGTATCTTTTTATGACATTGTTTTTGATAAGCATGTATACACCATGGTTAGGACCCCACAAGAGAAAAAATCAGTTGATTAATGAATATATCTGACCCTCTCTTCACAAGACTCTACAATGCAGCCTTCAGTAAAACTACGTGTTCTTCCAGCAAGTGACATTTAGATGAAAATATTCAGACCAGGTCTAACGACCAGCTATATATACAGCTTAACACAGGAGTAGCTCATGAGAAATATGTTTATCTTAATTGAAAGAAAAAGGCTTGCAGTCAAAGATGCAGTATCTCAAACAGAGAAATGATACTTTTTCCAGTGCTGCAGCAGTAATAAGTAATGTTTGAATCTGCAGTTTAAAACTAACCATTAAATTCCCATTATCTTCAAAATCATCTTCTCTACATAACCTCCCTGCTTTCTTTCTATGCAGAAGCTATTCACTTCTATCTCTCAATAAATCATGATTAGCCCTGTATATCTTCATAAATTGACAAGCTGACATGTAGTACTCAATTTTAAGATGCATTATATGGGATTACTCTTTGTTTAATGGGAATGGGTTATTTGCATCTGATATCTCACATTGCATATGTGTGCATATTTATGGCAAGATTCAAATTTAAAAATATAAACTACAATATATGTGCTATGAAATACGAGCTTGAAGTTAAACTCTTAAATTCTTTATTTTCAAAAGTAGATGTTACTACCTTCCTGTCCTGCTTATTTGTGTTTCTTTGTGTTATAGTACTGGTGATTTCATTTTTTTTTCCACTGCAATGGTTTATTTGCTTAAATTGTTCAGTCATAGTAGCATTTTCACTTAGAAAGAGGTAACTTCATTGATTCCCACTGGTTTTTGCATTTTGAAGTTTATGAACTCTGTAACAATTTCTCTTTATTTTGGATGGAACCATAGAACAAAATTTCTTAATGAATCATTGTATTTAGACTGAAACCACAGCAATTTAGAAAACTTTCTTCAAGAATTAACTCCATTTAAGAAATACTAATTGAATATGGCACTATTTCATACATCAGAAAATATTTTAGGGGGTTTTTTTTCTGTGGCATACAGCATTGCTTCACCTCTTTCTTTCTAGGAAAACTTTTTATACATCACAGAGAGGAAATATCTCTCTTAGGGTAATTATGTTGAAATAAAATAACATCTCTAATTAGCACTGATGATGAAAATCAGATCAATTGCTGAATGTTGTGCCACTATAGGATATAATTCACTGAGAATTACACTTCACCGTAGCACAGCTTGTTTCCTTTGTGCTGAAGACAGTCACTGATTATCCTGCACTTTGCAGTAAGAAATGGCTTCAAATGTGTGTATTTGGGAATTTCTAGTACCTTCAGTTGCATTTCCAAAGTAACCCTGTTGAAGTTTTTCCTTGCCTTTCTCACTGGAAGGAAGCTGAAAGGTAGTAGTTCAGTTTAACAGTCTTCAAATGACTATAAATACTTTTTATATGCTGATAATTAAGGAAGACAGCTGTTTTATTTATCTAAAGAGCTTTATGAAATTGCTGATAAGAAAACACACTTTGCATGTGGCACAATTGATCATCAATACACTTCAAACATTGCCATTGATAACCATAGTAATTTTGCCATACTGTGAAGCTGAATACGCTATCACACTATGAAATAATAATTTTCTTATTTACTAGGGAAGTAAAATTAAAATTATTTGTGATGAACTATTGGAAATGTTGATGTAAATAGAGCTTTAACAGTAGAGGAGTGTGGTGTGTAAAAAGGAGAGAGGCAAGCTAGGAGAAACAAGCATTATGGTTTTTAAAATCGTTCTTTAGAATTCCTAAATTTTATTTTTCAGTGGTTTAAGAACTTAATTTTGGACCCACAAGCAATTTGATAAATATAAAATGATTGAAAAAGAATTCTAAATAAGTCTACACTGTGTCAGGAGAGAGTTCTAACAATTTTTATGTTATGACAGAAAATGAATGCAGTCTTTCAAATTCGAGAGCATTATTGCTTCTCATGCTAAACCACTAATTGTCTCAACAGAGTGTATGATGATATTGATGCTGTGTCTGCATCGAGTCCACTCCAGACTTCTGTGAGGAGTGCCATTGTTGAAAGCCAGCAAGTCTTGTCCAAAGAAGATTTTCTGAAGATGATGTTGCCAGACAGCCTCTCTATGGAGGAGGGGAGAAGAAAGGTTAGCTGCTCTCTTTTGACTCTGTGTGTCTCAGACAGAGTTACACTAGAAATGAATTTCTGGTATTCCCAAAATTGCTATAGAGAGGACAATATCATTTTGTATAAGCTAAGTATATTCCATGGGGATGCTATAAACACTGACCATAAGTCCCAAAATATGGTTTGCCACAATATGAAAATTACATCTAGTGTGATGCTTATGAATGAAATACAGTATTTGTTTAAGTATGTCTTTGTTTAGCGTGAGCCAATACAGGTACAGGCTGAGCAACTTAATTACAATTTCAGAGATTAAATGTAACATTTGCTAGGTTGGATGCCTAGATTTATACACTTCACATCATATTAAGGCATATATATAACCTGCCCTGTGATACGCAATACTAAAAATTCTGTTTGAAGTCTGAACCACAATTTCATGTAGGTATCAGCAGCAACTGCTCCAAAAGTCAATGCTAGCGTAGAGCATGCATCTAATATTTATAGTATGAAGGCAACTGGTAATATTTAAAAGTTCACAAAAAGTGGGTAGAGAACTTAAAATTTACTGCTTCTCAAAGTGTATATGATTCGGAATCCCGTTCTTAATGTGGAATACAGTATGAAGCAATTAAATTACTTGAGACAGTTGTCACACTTCGATGTTAACTCCGTGTTCTCTTAACCCACTGTGTTTCTACAATGTGCTGAACAGCATAATCATCATGTCTGAACTGAAGTAACACAGGGGAATCCTCTAAGTGTGGAGTTGAATTTAAAAGTCAGATCATATGTATTTTTTAATGTGCAGTATGTTAAGTATGTACTTGTAAGTGTCTGAATTCTCATGAATAATGTCCTAAGGTTTATATGATTTATGATTGACACAATAATTGGTTTTCTGTGATTGTTTCAAGAACTGCTAATGTTTCTAACGACCTAAATAAGAAACAAGGAGTGAGAGGGTGTGGCCATCCTGAGATAAATTACTACTGTCCTCCTCCCCTCCCAAGACACCCAAACAAAAGCTCGCTAAGCAAGAGAGAACATGAGCTGTGACTGGCGAGGGATCCCCCAGCTGTAGGACTTGGCAGCATCCAGTCTTTGATTATGCCTGCATAGAGAGTAGTAATCTTGGTACAGGTGGGTCAGTTGTCTATGACAGCGGAGCCACGAGGGAGTCTTCTGGATATGTAAGATTCTACGAAATCAAGTCATATTTTTGGCTTGGTTTTACCTTGTTCTTTAGGGGGCTGGTTAGCTCAGTGGTTTGAGCGCGGTGCTGACAACAATGACCGACACCAAGGTAGCGGGTTCGATTCCCACTCGGTCCCCATGTGTTGCCGGGCCTAGTTGAGAGGTGGCATCCCTGCCCACAACAGGGAGGTTGGACTAGATGATCTCTAAAGTCCCTTCCAGCCTAGGCCATTCTATGATTCTATGATTCTTCATAGATCAGATAATGTTTATTTTTTTGTCACACCCTGAAAGGATATAAAGCTCCAACAGTCAACATATTTGGATAGCTGGTGAGCAGTCTTTAAAGACTTTATAGAATTGCAGCAGGTTGCTTGCTGGAAATCTCGAGTGCAGGAAAGAGGATCAGAGCCCCTTCAATTCAGAGGTTGAAGACTTTTAAACCCTTTGCCTAGTGTGGTCTCTAGTGAGGCTCAGGGTCTTTTAATATTCTTTAACCACTGCCGGTACAAGGATTCTGTATATCCATTCATTTAAGGATGCTGTGTTTGTCCTCTATCTGTACATTTAGGGGTGCTGCTTGTGTCTATTGTTGTGATCATTTTACATGTGTGTTAAAATAAAGTTTTGGATACTGTTTATTCCTGTGGCCCATATCTCCTTCAGGCAGATATCTAGAACCAATGTAGTATTTTGGTGCTTTCCTAGATTAGAATCTGAATATCTCTCTCCATTTTCTCTGAGACACAGTTAAGCATTTTAACAATTGAGCATCTTCCATAGGATCATTAAGATAGATACTTTCCTGAACTAGCACTCTGAAGTGTCCTTAAGAATTTTTTAAAGATTGTCTTGTGGCATGGATGGTGTTTCTGTGTATTCCTGTTAGAAGAATTCATCAATGAGCAAGTTTTGAGAGAAATAAAACAATGTAGATATCTTTAATTCTGTGCTATACTCACTGTTTTAAAAGCTACTGCTCTTAGACATACACGCCGCATAGCGGGCGTGCAACTCATCGTTGTGGAGAAAACAGGACAAGACATTAAATTGTTATATGCAGGACAAAGCAGTTAAAATAATTAAGGCAATAACTGACACTTGTAAATGTGAAGAGTAACTGGATTTGCAATTCTGAAGAATGGCTTATGAAGTGGAATGGCCCAGTTTTACAATACAGTAACATAGTTTTATTGTCGATAACTGGGTTGTGGTTCAAGTAACTTTTTGAAATGCGTAAACAGGTCTCACTGAACTCTATTATCCTCTTTTCTAAACCTATTTCATGATATCTGGAGAGATGCAGTGTCTCAAGTCACTTTTATTGTCCACTGAATTATACTTCACCGTATATGGTTCAGAATGTTTAGCATTAAAGCGTAGTCATGTCAAATTAAAATCAAAGTTCTATATATTGTCTTGAATAAATGTTGCAAGAGTTGGTAATGTTGTATGTATTTCTGGAAGACATTTCTGTCATAAGGCTATGGAGGTTTCATTTAACATTTCAGAACTAATGCAACAATAGAGTATCTGATAAATACGTGATGATGTGTTCCAAAATATCAACAGGAGGCATGGAAGTCCTGTTCTGTAACTCTTTTGAGGCCCCAGTAGATCTGATATGGTGGAACAAATCTCTGATCTTCTGTATTAGCTTGGGAATTCCAAAGTGCCTGCCCAGAAAAATGCTACAAAAAACTGATGATGAGATATGATTGTGTCATTTTAGCTAGTAATACATGTTCTTATGTCTTTGTATTTTTATGTTTAGTTTTCATTTTATGGAAACCTTTCTCCACGGAGGACACTTTACCGTACCCTATCTGATGAGAGTATATGTAGCAATCGAAGAGGATCTTCATATGCCAGCTCTCGAAGTTCCATGCTAGACCAGGCCCTGCCAAACGATATCTTATTCAGCACTACTCCACCATATCACAGCACGTTGCCTCCCAGAATGAGCCTCACTCCTGGAATGGGAAATCTGAGAAGTAAGTGATTACCACCGTCAGTGCTGAGTTTGGAGTATTTGCAATAAACAAATCACCAAATACTAAGTGAGGTTTTACTTTTAAGGTAGAATTATGAAATGTCAAATCAGTGTGCTAGATATACTAGTAAAAGCATATTTGGTCAGTGGTGCAAGCTTATGCTTGCCTTAATATCAGTTCAGATTTATCATGTTTGGAGATAGCATCCACTTCCAAAAAAATTTTCATCAGACTGGTGACAGGCAACAAATATTTGACCGAAGATATTTCTTGCTACCATTTTATTTTCCAGTGGTGACTTAATTAAGCCAAGCTGGCCTGTTCTGTTTTAATATTTCTATTTGTTTATTTTTTGTGTGCATTCAAATTACTGAAATATTCATGAATATATTCAAAATAATAGCTAAACAAGGACAGCTTCTATTTAGGTGATACTTTTCGTAACATCTTAAAAGGAAATATGTAATAGTTGTCATTTGCAATTTCAAAACTGGATTAGCTCATACTTTTTTTAAAATATGTTAGTAAAACCTTTGCAAATAACACTTTGTTTTTAATGACATAAAAAAAGAGTAGTCTGGGGTATGAAATTATTATTTTATGAAGATATCTGTTTACTTATGAGGTCTTCATAAGTAAGATCTTTATTATATGCTCATCTTGCAATAATTCCAATATGGAGTGATGAATTATAAAGTCTGTAGTAATTCTATGGAACAAATCAAATGAAAATTATGAAAGTTACAGAAAAAAAACCAAAGAAAATTGTGAAAAATGTATATGCTTGTATACCACAACCCAAATCTACACAGTCCGATACATATCTTTAGGCTGCATATCCATATTCGTATTTATATATTTAATGAGAGTGAATTGTTTTTTAAAAAATTGCTAAATCACTTCTCAGTTACTTTAGGCTGACCTATAAGGGACATGAAATCTATAAAGAAAAAAAGAACCTTTTAGTTAGATACTTCAATATTACGTCACAGCTGACTGTATTTAAAAAAAAAAAATAGTAGAGCAATTGGAAACTCTGAAGTCCATGGTTAAGAAGCTGTGGGTGGATTTATTGAAAACATTAAACACTTGTAGGCACATGTGTCCAGAGAGAATGCAGAAAGATTATTTAAAAGAAATAGTATTCAAAAGGGCTCTGTCATTCACCGTGTCCTTCAGGAACTAACAGTCACTTGCTATCTTTCAGAAGTAAGCCTTACATACAAAACACTCTTCTAGTTGTAACGGCTTCAGCAACGAGGCTGAGTTTTAGTCATTACCCACTGGTTAATTTTAAACTGGTATCACAAATGACTGTTAAATTCCTGCTTCAGAGGGGAATGCATGCGTAGTGTACCTTTTACCGTTCTAAAAATATTCTTCTATCAGAGTGAAACTACTATAAATTTAATATGAAAATATTCTTTGCTTTTACTGACAGAGAATGAAGGCCCATTTTGTTCATTAGACTATTTCAGTAGATTTTATAGTCTATGAAGGAGCTACGTATATAACCAGGCATTCTGATTGTATTTTTTTTTTTCTTTCTCTATGTTAAGGCTGTGTTTTTAGAGCCATTTCTTGTAAAAGTAAATGTGCAGTGGGATCAAACCTTCAGTGTGCTTCTCGTCTGGAGATTGGCACCAGGAAATTAATGGTGTGCACTCAAGCTGCGCACTGCTTCTCCGCCAGCAAAATTTTAGTATTTTGTGTATTAGTTCTATCTTAAACACCTTATTTGCCATTCTTCCTGCTGTTTAGATACAGAAAGTTATTTATACACATAGCTGGGAAAAAACCATGAAACTAGTATCCTGTCAGTCAAAATGAAGCTAATTGTTGATATCCAAGGTAGTTTCTGCTATTTTCATATACAAGCTCTATTTTTGACTTCTGATTTTAGTGTTATAAAAGTGCCATTCAATGCCAGCAATATAAGTTCTTTTATAATGGCTGTTTCAAGGAAGATTTAATTGGTTATCTGTAATTACACTCTGAAAACTAACACGTTATAACTTGTCCATCTTTGTTTTCAAAGTAAGGCTAGTCAGCATTTCTATGTAAGAAACTAATTTTGACTCTTATTAGAAAGTTTTTTGTAATAAGTGCATGGTAGTTATTTACATTCTATAGCAGTGGTTACGTGAGCTTTCTTTTTCATTTATAAATATAGCTTGAGGTTGTAGTTTCAGGTATCAAGATTCTTAGTTGTCATAGTAATGTCTTTTGTAAAATACGTATGTTTGTGATTTTAAGACATTTTAATTTTATTGATATGTAATGTTTACAGGAATCAGTGGAAATAATGTGGTTTTGGCTGGAATTCATTTTAGAAAGATACGTTCTTGCATGTTATTACGCAGCATGTAGTATGTGAAATACTGTGGCAGTACCAAGTCTTGTAAGATCCCACTAGCAAAGAAGAGTGTGATTAATAGGCAAGCAAGGCAGCACCAAAACCAAAGCATAATAGGCAACCTAAAAGGTTTCAATTTACTGGGAACTCAGAATTATCAGACAGACCATGCAAATATGGAAACAGAAATGTCAGCTGTGTGCAATGTTCACTGTGGGAAGGAGACAAGAAAACGAAGCTATAGGATTTTTTTATTATTATTATTTTATCACTGGGGCAAGTGATAGAAAGAAGAAAGCCTGAAATGCCAGTTGTGTGCTGTTGATTGTACACAGTAAATAAATGTAGAAAGATTTCCTCTATTTTATCTTATTTTTAACTTAAACCAGAAAGCAGAACTCATGTAGCTGAGAACTCAGGAATTTTACCTTAGGGACATTAAAGATTCCCTGAGACAGGTGCTGTTCATGTTGAGTGATTTTAGCATGCCATACATGGTTGCAGGTACAAATCTACCCCCGTCTTGCAAATTTGTGGCAGTTGAACTAGCAAGGAAAGAATGAAAACACTGAGAACCACTGATACAGAACTAGCATACTAACACAACTGGGAAACCCACGAGGACACATGGAAGCAGTCTGACTGGCATTGAGGGCACTGTGATCCACTCCTTTTATGAGGCACAAAAAGAAAGGGGAAAGAAAAATGCCTTAAGTGATGCACTGGCATGGCATTGCTGTGCTGGGGCAAAAGGAGCAAGGTGCAGGATACTTTCAGTGAAGAAGGTCATAAAGAAGGGAATATTTTGCAATGATACACTAACAAACTCAGAAATGCTCACCTTATACCTGCCGTAGGGAGAATGCTGCCAAAAGTGCCGCTGTACTGCAACAATGCTATTAGATCAAAGTCTACCTTAAAATCGGCTTACTTCCAGTGTTAGCTTCAATCCAAAACTAAACCTCACTGATAAGAAGCTGTGTACTGATGATGTATAACATGAACAATTGGGAAATTAGTTTTTCAGTAAGCAAATAAAGGCTTTCGATTAAATAATTTCTACAACCACATGTTGTCTGTTACAGAATCTCATACAGTGAATAATCCACCATACCAGAACATAAGACTATTTTTAATAACAAAAAGGAAGGGAAAAGTAGTTTTTAGGAGTGCGTGTCTGCCGTAAGAACAGTAATGTGAGCATCTGTCCATGAGAAAGCCTACTAGTAGGCTGACATCTTTGAAGGGAGACTCTGGACAACCTTAGGTAATGCTGAAGAAGGGAAGGGTTCAGAAGGCAGTTCAGATGGCCATGGGGGTATGATCAGTGACTGCAGGAGAGAACAGGAAGCAGACAGTAGGGTTTATGTCTGCATGTGGCTCAGTATGTTCCTTCAGGTACAACAGCATCTTTTGAGATAAATCTGTATGTTAAATGACATGCCAAGTTTGAGTACTACTTAACAGATACTTTTTCATAATCTATAATCTCTGCATAAAAGTGGTGATTCCAGCTGAAGTAGGATGCTTGTCTTGAAGTAGGAAAGAATACATCAGGTTAATCTTTCTCCTTTCTGTGTAACTAGTTACTCTTTTAATATGGAGGTTTGTGGGATCAATTAGAGTCCATTTGAGAAGGTTTGTTGAAACCTGATCATATAATTTGGATGAAAATAAGGACTCTTCTAGATCCTTTAAACTTTTATGTATCAACAATAAAAAATTTTTAAGTGTAGGAAGAGAGTGACATACCTGAAAGGATTGGCAACCACAAGATCAGTGATTTTGTGCCAAAAGGAGTACAGCAAATAAAAATAACCTTTAAAACTGAAAGGTAACACTTATATTGTTATCTCAAAGGAAATATGGGCTAAATCTGTGTTGTTTCAAAACCAGTCTTGTGGGCAATGAAGGTAGTGGCCCGTGAGATCAGACATATCCTCCTGGGCACAGAGGTGGGCATGCTGAAGCACAATTTGCCACCTTTGCACAAACCAAAAAGGAAGACAACAGACAGCCTGCAGTGCGTTATTTTTTGGGAGCACATGTCCTCCACAGCAACAGTAATGTGAGCATGTGTCCATGAGAAAGTCTGCTAATAGGCTGGCAGTCAGCTAATGCAGCAGTCATACAGAGAAAAAGTGGAAGTAGCAGTGAGGTAAGAGGAGCAGTGAGGAAGTGCAAATACAAGAGGCAAGAAATAATTCATCTAACCCAGAGCATTCCTTAAATACAAACAGTATTCCCTGAAATGCAAAAGTACAGAGATATATATCGTTAGAGATCCTCCTTTTTTTTTTCTTTTTATTCTCCTCCCCACTCAGCAGCACCCTCACTCATCCTCCCTTCACATAATTTATAGCTTGCAATTGAATTATTCTGTGGTGGCATACTCATGCCTGTTCAGTTATTCCACTTATAATTTAAGCCATCAGCATGAGCAGTTGCATTTTCGGAGCTATCAATATTCAAATCTCTATTCTGTCAGGCTTTCTGCAGTTGAATTGCTCTGTCAGTTTTTATGCAGGGCTGAGCAGGATCCACCCTAAGGTGAACTAGGTTCTCACAAAGACAATGCATAATGAAGGATGACTACTGGTGAATATATCACTCCTACACTTCAATTTGGAGAGCCAGCAGAATCGCACTGGGAACAGGCATCTTCCTGACAGGTTTCACAGTTAGCCTCTGCAGGCTGATCACACAAAAGCAAGAACTGTCCCTTAGGGCCTGCCTGCTGGTCGAGAACCAGAAGCTGGCTTGCCAGCCTTTCAAATAAGGCATTCTGTTTATTTTCCACAACAGAGGTGTATAAAACATTTGCACTTACATGAATAAGCTCCTTATAATTCCCAGGTCATATACAAAAGTTCAGAGACTGCTCTGATGTTGATCTTCCAGAGTATTTGCACCCCAATGTAAACTTAGATAAGATTTAATGTATGTTTATAAGGAGCTGAAAATGAAATCTTTGTACAGATATGTATACAGGTAGAATATACTTGTATGTTACAAGTATAACATCCGCTTTTGCATACTGAAAGTGAATATTGAGAAACGTATTTCTGCAGAAGCTTGTCAAGCCACTTCCAATTGTAATATAACAATACTATGTCTTTCAGATAGGTTATAGAACAAGGTAAATTCTACAGAAAAAAAAAATGTCTACCTCTTCTGCATTGTTTTTGCTTTGTGGGATTCCTAATTTTTGACAGAGGTTTGTAGAGCTCCTTCACTTTCCTGTTCCTTTTTTTTTTTTTTTTTTTCCTGGAACAAACTGCCTGGAAAGAATATGATATGCTCTAATCATTGTTCTGTGCAATAGAATGCTCTATAACAGACTATTGGGTTTCGATTTTTAGGTCAGAAAACTAATTCAAATGGAATTTGGTATTCTTTTTTTTCATTGGTATTGGGACAATGCTGTTTCCTTAAACTATAGTGTATCTTCCTCTCGTATATGTGCATTTTTTCCTTCATTGACTTTCGTGTTCGATGTTTTCCTGGACAAAATATTCCTCATAAATATTATAGTCTGAATCACTGGACTAACTAGATGGAAATTTCCTTCTGAAATATTTGAGGAAAAATTACTATTTTATCCTTTTTATTTAATAGAAGCTGATATATCTGAAGCAAAATTTCTTTTTCCTGACTGTACAATGTAATTAAAGTACAAGAGTATCACAAGCATTGTGGTTAACATGAAATGTGATTATAAACAATGTATTTGGATTATGTTCAGTTTCAAGAACCTCTGTGTACCTGTTCTGCAACATTTATTTTAATGTGTTCACACTGATGAAAGTGAAGATTGCTATGCATAGATAAGGAAAATGTAAATAAGATAATTATAAAATTAACATCTCCTCTCCTAAGGAGAGGTACCTTTATGAAAGACTGTGTAACTGAAAGCTCTGTTTGAACTAACTCTATAGTATATACATTTTAAATAATATACAATCTATCTACAGTTACAGCTCACTCTGAAACGTAGAGGTTGACACATGAGTCTTATATCCTCAGATACACAGCTACAAATATTAAACTAATAGCATAGTATTTTTAATGTGGAAGCGAGCTTTGAATATAGGCTAGAATTTAAAATTCCATTAAAAGAAAAGCAGGTGATGTTTTTTAAATGCTTCTCGAACTGAAATATATACGTTTCAGAACAAAACTCTGTAAATATCTCATGTTTCACAGCCTTCTTAAAAATATAATTTTGTGCATCTAGCAACTTTTCTGCTCAGTGCTCAGGTTTAATATGGTATGCTTTAAGAATGGATGCTGCCTACTCACACAGCATTCACATGCAAATATGAAGAACACATCATGTGCAAAGTGGCACAAAAAATCCTTTAGAAACCCTTCCCATCTTATTCTGGCAAAGTTTAAAAATTGTTCCACCCATACTGAGTATTGAACAGGAAAAGACAGAAGTCAAGATAAGCACTTTTTGCTTATACTTTTTTTTATTATAATAGCTTCAAAATTAATTGTACATTATTGTTATAGGAAGACTAATTATTGTGTTTATTGTTTAGATGAATTCTGGTTCTCAGATGGGTCCTTATCTGATAAAGCCAAATTCAATGATCCTGGCCTGATGCCCCTGCCAGACACTGCCACAGGGCTAGACTGGTCCCACCTGGTAGATGCTGCACGAGCGTTTGAAGGTAACAGGAAAATTTGAATAAAGATCAATGTTCAGTACACAAACTTTTTTTTAAAAAAATATATATTGTATAGCCACATTTTGATTTACAAAAAATCCCGTGTTTGCCTCTGTAGCCCTTCAGTTATTTTGGCAATATCTCTTCTCAGTGCAGAGAAAATTTAAGGTATTCATGATACTACCAGTATCTATCTTAGACACAATTCATCCACTTAGGGTCTTAAGTTCCTTCTGTAATCAACTGGAAAAAGCACATGCTTTGAAGGAGAGATTCAAAGCATTTTTAAGGTAGATGTTTAAAATGAAACTGGAAGTAACACTTCCCTGAGTTTGTGTTGTGTTTATAAACTCTGTATGTGTAGTCCAGATGGGTTTACATTCCCTCTCAGTTTTCATAATAAGCCTTGAAAAACAGGATATAGGCCAGATTTGTATTATTAAATTCTAAGACTGAGTTAAGTAAGAAGAAAACCTAATTTGCCTCTTTGAGAGCTAAACCTATACCTGATGTATAAACACGGAAAGGTAGATACTGGTTTGAGTGTACATATTCATATATACAGTTGATGGCTTGTGTTTAGTGGTTCCTGAGGGGTGTTTTGGTTAGGTTACTGTGCTGTCCTAAAATATCAACACTTCTTAACTGATGTTATTCTCATTAATGAATGTATGGGAAGTCAGAGGTATCTGTGAATAAGGATGACATCACCACAGTCATCATTATATAAGATACAGGTCTTAACTTTATGAGGAGAACTGGTTGTGAAGTTAGTCATGAGACATTCTTCTGGGGTTTTTTTTAGGTAAAAGCAGCCATGGGAATCAGTTTTTCTGGTGCCTGGTTCCTTCCCTATATATGAAGTGATCAAATTTCAATTTGATCAAAAGCTCTTCAGAACTACTTACTATACTAATTTAAATGGCGTTGTTAAAAACCCAAACCAATAGCAATCTGAAGCACTGTACTGTTCCTTAACCTGATTAACTGTATGTGCACTGGGTGCTATGCAGCGCTAAACGCGCCTGTTGTAGTGGCAGGCAGCAGCACTGTGATGCTGAGAGTCTGACGACTGTTTCTGTGCATTTCTATGCTTGATTGCTCAGGGAACATCCTGCTATTTGTTAATGACATCTTTAACAACTGAAAATAGGTTTGGATCCATAAACGACTAACTCTTTTCTGCTTTGGGCTCTGCAATAGAGATATCTGTTTATATGTTAGATGATTTATAAAATGTTTTGACTGCAATTGGAAATTTTTACAAGGAGTGGAATTTTTAAGCCCTTGATCTACTTTCTCTGTCCTAGGTCTTACAATTTGAACGTCATTTGAACAAGAATAACTGATAGGCATGTCATAAAATATCTCTGGGAGGGAATGTGTTGGATATGAATTAGCAGATGCAGTTTATGTATTTTAATGTCATTGACAATATTCCTTCAACTTACTCTTGAAAAGAGCTTGAAACTACTTTTCAGCATTCTATCAATGCAAAAAAGAAAGTGGATTATTCTGTTTGCTTTGGAATATAAAAATGCTTTGATCATTTTATTAAACTGGGTGGAAATGTGGTCACATTGTATACAGGACTGTCTCAAGAAAAAAAACACAAACCAAACAAAACCCCACTCCCCACCCCAAACCTTCAGTGAAAAAGATCACAAAATGGATAGGACTTGTCTAATACTGATTTAGGAAATTAATGTTAGAATTGTTTTTCAATTTGGCTTTGCCAACCCAATATTTCCAAGTTGTATTCTGCTCTAGAACCTAGATTTAAGACTTAATTTTAGTTTTTCCTTTGCACAAGGTCTTTTCTTAATACTGGTTTATTAAAATTACCAATCTGATTTCAAGGTCTGGGGTTTTCCCCTGTGATCTCTCTAGATTGTATATTGACAACTTACTGATGAGTTCAACATTCATAATGCAGGCCTCATAATCCTTCATCTGTCTGTCTTAAAATGAACATGCAGTTGTATCTCAATTAATGTTAAATATAGCCTTTTTAGGTGCTTATAATGTTAGCATTAACTGGATTAAGAATTAAATATCATAGCAAAAATTTTTGCCACCATCATTTGTACCCCGAGTTTACTCATGGCTGTAACAAGGACAGCAGTCTCACTTTTAGCTTCCCCTCATCTCCTCAAATGAACATTTGGCTAGGTTGGTTATTTATATTAGTATGGTTTTATCCAGGTGGTCCTGTGTAGAACAGCAGCTTTTAAACTGTGATCCCTGAGGGTAGAGCAAATCATTACTTTTTTTGTCTAATTGAAACTATGATCATAATACTTTTCACTTTGTGAGGATTTAATTTTCACTGCTTTTACTTGGAAAGAGCTTTTGTGGGAAGCTGAATACTTCCTTCAAACTTTTCCTGAAAATCCTCTGTTATTCCTAAGACACATCTTGACAGTGCAATAAGAGCTGTGCAGATGGGAACTCCACGGGCTCCACAAACTGCATCAGTAAGGGGATTTGCCTGAGCTGTGTCTCTTGAGGGTCAGTGTCCGTAAGCTGGAGCACAGTGCAACATTATTTTAAGTCTTCACGGTGCCTGGCTTTGCAGGGCATAGTTTTGAGTCTGGTATTTATCCAGAGATCATCTTCAGCATGCATGCAGTCAGTAGCAAGAGGTATCCTTCCATTTCTTTTATACATGGGTAAGCTGCTTTCAGTGCCCTTCTCTTATTTTGGTGGGAGAGACAGTAGTCAGGGAGCAGCTGACACACTTAGAAGTACAATGTTGTGATATTTTTGTATCCATCCCTGAAGCAAACAGTAAAAAAGTAGTTAGAACTGGTTGTACAACAAAAGAGGCTGGAGTTTTGGGGAGGGCAGCTGGGATGAAAGAGAAGTTAAAGAAGCAAAAAGAAAGTAAGCATGTTGAACTGAGTAAAGATACAGATAGAGAAATTTATAGTATAAATGGGAGAGCCAAATTAGAAAAAAAGAGAGCAAAGAATCTCAGAAAAGAGTAAGAGAAGAGGAGATAAGGGTTTTTTAAATGCTTTTTGTATTCTCCTTCCAGCAAATCTCCAAATTAGGAAAGAAGGACTGGCTTTCTATACATGTATTATGTTGCTGATGTCTGATTGTATCTTTTTGGTGTTCTGGGGAACAAAAGGAGAAGCCTTTTTAGATGTCCATATCTGTTATTATCATTATAGAAGAAAATTGACACCAACATAAATGTTGTTTATTATTATTATTAATAAAACTTGACACTATTTGTACTACTTTAAACTGGGGTTAGTGTGCTTAAAAACAACAAAAAAAAGCTGTTTAGTGTTTGGTGAATCATGGTGTGGGCATTAACAGCCTAAGAAAGTCCCTCTGATGTGGTTCATTAAAATAGGTGTTTTCAACTTCTGATTATTTTTTTTCCAGGTTATTTTTATGAACAACTACTAGTGCCAGTCAGAATGTAGTGTTTCTTAATGTCAATTTATCTTTGCAGAAACATCTGTGCTACTATAATTAATATTATTTTAATACTTCCATTTAAAATCTTTATAGCTTAATGCTGCACGTAACATAATGAGAAAGAAGTGAAGCATTCAGCATGAGAGATAATTATTTAAACCAAATTAGTATGTTAAACTGTTGAAAAAGAAAAAATGAAAATATTTAGTTAACACTTGGTCATTTCTAACGCATGTATGTGTAACTGTTTTTGCTTCAGTGCATAAGTCAGTGAGTAGACTCCGCCTTAATAACGAGAGAGCGGCTTCATCCCTTACACTCATTTTAACCTTTTGTGCTCTCCAGTACATCAAAATTGTCTCGAGTTTTTTCTGGCCTCTGTTAATGGTCTCAAACAATCTAGATTCAAATTCTTAGTGATTCAAATGTAAAATTCTATTACTTTAAAGTGAGACATGAATTTTGTCTTGCAAAGTCAACTGTTGCTTAAACTTTTGACATAAAAACCAGTTAATGTTTGCAAATAGTTTTCTATGCTTGGATCCTATGTGAGATTTGACGAGGATGTCCCACGTAAAAGTAAGAACTCTGAGATTTACATGTATTTTCTTTTTGTTTTATTTCACTTGAATCAAATAAGAGGTGTCCCTGTAGTTTGGAGGAAGCAGAACTTATGTCTGCAGCACCATAGTCAGAAATACACTTGATTTTTCTTTCAGAAAATTAACTGTCAGTGGAGGTGACACAGTGAAGGTGATTTCATTTTTGTGAATGTAGAGTCAAGGCAATTCTGTTGAAAACAAATAAACGAAAAATCAGTAGGAGGATTTTGCTCTTTGAAGCACAAGTTCAGCCTTAGCCACAGTTCAGGTTTAAAAACAGTTCTTATTGAAATAGAACATTTGTGAAACTATTGCTAAGCATGAATACTTCTAGGGAGATCAATGAGATTTGATATAGTTACTGAAAATAAAAATGGACTTGGAAACTGCTCAAAGGTAAAACTTTGTGCTAGTCCAGGATCTTGCTGATGTACTAGTTATTACAAAAATCTGTTGTGTTACTAACTTGTTCAGAGAATGATTTTGACACTAACCTGGCTTTTAAAAGTTAATCAATTCCTCTTTGAAGAGCAACACAGGAATTTACATAGTACATTATATGATTGGAAACTTCCGGTTATTAATGGCCATGTAGTGACTTTATTCTTCACCTGATGAATGTGAGAATATGGTTTCATGTTTATAAAGAACTGAGTATTGGAAGGAAATGTTTACGTTATTCTAGGAAAGTAGAAAAGATTTAACAATTAATTTTCTACCTATGTTGAAATTATTTTTAAATTCTGTGGAGTTGAAATTCATAAAGTATTACACAAGGAAAAACATTTATCCTCACATTATACTTCATTGCAAGCACCCCATGTTTTTGTATTTTCTTGTGTGTTGAAATAATATGAAAGTATTTTAAAATATTGAGTTTATAAATGGCATCATGTGATTTAATTAACAGCTGCATATACCTGGTTTTGCACCTGCTTTTATCCTTCAGGAAAAAGATGCTTTCAGATAGTGCTGGAGAGATCAAATTGACAAAACATTTTCTCAACTAACAAAATAAACCAGACAAGTGGCCATTCTCTTTAATTAAGATTGCTTGACAGAGGAAGAAAAATGCAGAATTTATGTTTTCTTTATATTACAATAGAATTGCCTCTAAGACCCAGTATCATATATTGTTGACCATAGAAGAAAATAGCAACATAATAACATTTGGTTCTGTCTTTGTTTTCTTCCATCAAGTGGTAAAGAAAATGTGAAAAGTCTAAAGGTGAAATCAATAATTAGATATATACTTCAAGCTACTTGTTTACGCAGTCTTGTTTCTAGCCTACATACTGTGTTTTGTCTGGGAGACTAGTCTTCGTTTATCTGTACTAATTAAATTAACTCAGTAAGTTTCAAATCTGTAAGTGCTGTCATTGATTATATGTTTAAAATTATATTCTTTCTTTATTGTCAGCACACATGAAAAAGTCATGTTTGTATTTCCTGAGACCCATGACCAATCAGAAATAAAAGAAAGGGAAATGAGCTGTGGTATTTAAAATTGAGCAAAAAATGAAATGCAACTTCCCTTCATTATACTAGAGAATGAATGTCGATCTTTGCTATTCCTTAAAACTATTCTTTTAAAAGAACCCTTTAAACAGCTTTTGAGTGATTTTGTATTTTTGTTTGGTAAAACTTTTAAACCAAAATTTCCATCCTAGTTAAAATGCTCTGGCCTGTATTCACCATTTGGGTGCTTAGAGCTTGGAGGGTTATCTTTTTTAATGTATGATGTCAAGCTGTCATGCTGTGTCGCGGTACCAGGTGTTGCTATTGGAGACACGGGGCCATGATGCCTCATGCTTTTATTTATGGCTGATGTGGTGTACAAATGGGGCTGTCAGGGAAAGCCAGCGTGAGTTGCACGGGAAGCGTCCCGCTGCGTGCGCCGCATGTGAGGGCCACGGCTGCTCCCATGGAGATGGACTGTCTTGTTCATAGGAACATTCTAAATCTTATTCCAGGTTTTGACTCAGATGAAGAATTTGGGCCGTTCTGTCATCACACGCCGTTTCTAGGTGATGGTCTGGGATTGATGACTTTTGCCTTTTGTAAACTTTCTTTAATATTTCCTATGTTTGCACGTTTGCATGATAATGCAAGCTTTGTGCCTGTGGGGTGGTAGAGCAAAGGGAGAAAGGGTAAGGCAGGCATGTTGTCGCCAGAATTTATACAAGCCTACAGACATGGATTTTGTTTGACGGAAATAAGCTAAATTAATCTCCACAGAATATGGATTTATATTTTTTTTTAAAGAAGATAAATTAAATCCTAATGAATGCATCATCTACTCCTGTTCTGTGCAAAAATGATCTGCATGGCAAACTTCTATTATGTGGCGACTGATGTATTTTGGCAACCACACTGTATATCCAAGGTAATTACATCTGTGCTTGTTAGATTATGTTCTAGTGGAATCCAACGTAGATAACAGCATACCTTAGTAACGTATATAACAAAAACTTTATTGATAAAAATAGTAAGAATTTATTGTTTCTCAAGTATGCAGATTACCATTAGGTTCTGCAAATGCTTGAGACAGTAAAACAGTACAAAATGAACAGTGCAGATTTCTGAGGAATTTGATTGCTTTAAGACCACGGAAAATGCAAACCTTATCACTGAATTACTGTTGTTACTGGTTGTGGCCCTGAATTCTCAAATGGATTTGTGCAGATTTCATCAAGACCAATTTACTGTTCATATCAGCGTTAACTGGTCCAAACAAATCTTATTTTGCTGATAGACACAAAAAATTGCTTTGGGGTTGCCTTTGGATGCAGATGTGGGGAAGCCAACTAGTTGGAATATACTTTACATCTGATGATATCTTCAAAGCTGTGATGTAGAAACCTACATGCATTTCACTAAATGAACCAGGATAGTAGCTGGATTATAGCCTTTTATTTTGTGTATATGCCCAGCTTTAAATGTATCCTTACGTTACTTTTTTACAGATCAGAGGGTAGCATCTTTTTGCACCTTGAATGATATGCAGCAAGCTCAGGGCTTGGAAGGAGCACAAGAGTTACCTTTGGATGAGAGTCCCACAGATGGCAAAGATTTCCTTGAGGCTGCTGGGTACGTCAGAAATAAAGTGTATTTCTTACAATACTATTTTAAAAAATATTTTCTCTTAAAGTTGCGTATCAAATTGCCTGTATGCATGTTTCACAGCTGTTTAGTGGCAGACCTGTTACCTTTAATTTTGAAAAATTTGACTTCAAACTAGAATTTTTTAAAAAACTTTTTTTTTAATTCTCTGCTACAAGTCTCCTGTTGTCATTGTGCCTTTAAACTACTACAGACTCTTATTTTTAGGGAAAAATAAGCTTAATGATGCAGAACTTACTTGTTCTTTGGAATCAACCCCTGAGCCATCTAAAAAATTTTTAGTATAGTAAGATAAAGCTGTCTTACTAGAACAGGCTTCTTATGCAGAGCAGTTAGATGTAGAGTTTCAGCTAATCAAATATTTCACTGTATTCCTGTAACATAACTATAACGATTTGTGTGACATGTATTTCTATTCTCATTTGAATAGAACCAATAACAGGAACTCAGCTCTGTAGTATGCAATAACCTTATCTGCAGCAGATATCTCAGACCTTGGAACAGGTGTTCCTACCTGTCTTTTGCAACTATTTGCCACGTGCAAATGCATAATATTTCACTTATACAAAGGTAAATTAATCAAGAGAACCTGTAACTGAGGACTGTAGGAAACTTCTATGACAAACTGCCCAATTCTTCAAATTCTTCCCATTGATCTAGAAGAGATTATTTTCTTTTTTCTTTCTTCTCCCCTGTCTTCCCCTGCTATGGGGAGTATACTTGTTAAGAACACAGATTCAGCAGTATAATCTGTCCACTAGCATGCTTTAAAAGGAAAACACATGTCGATTAGTTTTGCTCTTCAGCTGCAGGAATGGAAGAACAGCAAATGGAGGGAAAAGTCTTGTTGCTTGTTAAACTATCCCATTTTAATTCGAACCAATTTTACACAAATTAACTTTCTTACGTGGTAAAGTGCATTTATTGTAATGACTTCAAGGTCCACATCTTTCCCCACCCTAGTGATCTGTAAGGATTGCAAAAGACTGCTGAAGATGTTTCACTTTTAGCATCGGCAGATCTGTCAGATTTGTGCACTTGCCTGAAGCAGCTGATTCAGCTTTGTGTATAAAGCTTCTCTCTTCTAGACAAAATGATTCATATTATGGCTAATTTCATCTGTAACATATATGAAACTGTCTCCCACAGTGCTCATTGTCATACAGGAAACAGAGGCTATTCTCAGTGGTTTCCTTCAGTCATACATTTGATTAACCTGTGGCAATATTTCATATGTTTTGACCTTTAAACACAATATTTGTCTCTATAAAGCCATAGCTTTATCCTTTACTGGAAATTACGTAACTGCAGACCAGACAAAAGAAATGTTAACGGCTCTTTCAGTTTACAGTAATTGCTGCTGCAGCTTGCTTCAGAAGGCAGCTTGTTAACAAATGTGCTCAGCAAATTTGACTTGCATTGTGAGGGTGTATGCAAATAATTCCTAAAATATTCCCTCTTAAAATCATTGTAATTTTTGCCCAATCTGCACAAGAGACAGCGTCATGTTTCAGATATTCCAGCGATGAGTTTATGTTCCAGTAATAGTCTTTTGCTAGTGCTGGTTTTGCCAGTTTTTCTAACTGTGCCTGAACACTGATGTGTTTGCTATCACTGAAAGTGATATTCTGCAAAAGCTGGAGGAGAAAATGATTTTAACTAGCCCCGAGTGAAGGTAGTGGTTTACTTTACAGGGAACATGCTCCAAGTACTCTGACTGGGAAAGTAAACCAGCTAGAAGTCATCCTCCGGCAACTACAAACTGACCTGAGAAAGGTAAGAGATCGTTAGCAATATTATCACTCTCCAGTTTCAATAGTTACATTTTTATCCAGAGTTCACTGAGGGCTTGAAAAAAAAGCCCATCAGTTTAAGTAGATGGTGTACTTAATGAATGGTGGAGCCCAGTGGTTGATCAGAGGTGCAGGAAGTCCTGTGGGAATGGTTGTGTGAACAAGCTGACCTAAAACTGACTAGGCAGTAGGGCTTTACTCCAGAATAACTGTCCTACATATGGTCATACCTCAAAAAGGATGAAGCCCTTCATTTCCGTTTGTGGTACCTTGGATTTAACAAAGGATAGGGTTGTGGACAAAGACACTATTGCTAGGTAGTCAGCACTCTAGATTTGTCATCCTTGTTGCCTTGTGGTATCTTGATCATGTAACAGTGACTTGCTTTGTGCCTCGTTTGCTAATTTCTGAGCTGAAGACAATGCCAGGACTGGTAGGAATGAGACTGCTTTTAGTAAGAAAATAATCATGTAAGGAAAACTTAGAAATTACTTGGGCTCTCACATAAGATTTGTAATAGCTAAAAGCTTCTTGTTCTTTTAGTGCTTGAATATTTTTTTTTGTTAAATGGAGCAAATTTTTGCATTAAAGTAGCATCTAGTTTTCTTTTTAGTTTAAGGTATATTCTCAGAATGAATGAGGTACTTGGAGCACATTTGGAAATTAACTTACAGTTGTCAGAACTGTTTACAGAGCTCAACAAAATATAGCTGTATGTCTTGGACAGAAAAGTTAACAACGAAAATAAATGCTGTCCTCACAACTACTCGCTTTACTCAACTTGTGTCTTTGTTAAACAGGAAAAACAGGACAAGGCAGTTCTCCAAGCAGAGGTACAGCATCTGAGACAAGATAACATGAGACTTCAGGAGGAGTCTCAAACAGCAGCTGCTCAACTGAGGAAATTTACAGAATGGTTTTTCAATACGATAGACAAAAAATCCTAATGACTGGGCCCCTGGAAAATACTCCTTTGAACAATGTAACAGCTGTATTTTTTTGAAGTTGCGGGGTAATAATTTCACTGTGTTCACGATCCATGTTAGGTGTTTCTGCTACATTCTCTGTCTGGCTTTATTCATTCGTACGAAGAAAGCACAGAGTAGCAGATATTTGTTTGTGTGCAGATGAATGTAAAAAATCCTTAGTGTCATTTTAGACATTTTTAGAAGACGCTCTGGCTGGGGCATGCCTGAAGAGGAATATTTGGGGTTTTAGTTCCTGCATTTCAGGTGCGCTGGTGAAGATGTTAAAGCAATTTACATTAGCTTGGGCTTCAGTATTGTAAGATAAAAAGAATAACCAGACATATACTTTAATGTTTAAAAGGTGCTCTATTTTTTTGTATGTACAGTAGTTTATTCCCACAGTCCACATTGTCATAGCAATAAGAATGGAGGTATAGTGAATAGTCACAAAGCTGTGTTTATAAAATGTTAGCACTGATGTGTTTAACACTAGTTTGGATGCAGATACCTTAGAGATTATTTATTTGCAGGAACAAACGGTGCCTGAATATAAACAGTGTTCTGATTTTCTAAAACTACACATGCCTTGTAAATGGCTCACTGGGTTAGCCCACTCCCAACTTCAGTTACTTTTGTATAGTTGATGTTCGGCTAAACAGTTATACCGCTTAACTATTGAAATCATGTATGGTGTGAGCCAGCCAATCAATTGTACAATGCCAAATTTGTTTATCTTTGTACAGAAGCTTTGATCAAGTGTCTTGTATTTAACACCTTTATTTAAGCTTATTTAACCTTAAATTGTTGTTTTTATAGAGTTTGGTTTATCTGCACTATGATGAGGTCAGTTGGTTGCAAGTTGTAATATTTTTAGCTTGCCAAGACTGTACTGAGGAGTTCTAGAAAATTCTTAACAATTGGATGCTGCTAGTACACAATTGATTTGTTTGTATGCTTTAACATTTTTAACTGTTTAATTTGAAATGAACATACATCCTGCTTTTTTAATAAATGTTAAAAATCTAAACCTGAATTATTTTACCGTGTAATAGCTGTAATCATTGTCATCAGCAGTAGCTCAGGTTTCTGTTTTGAGGCTCACGCTCCAGAGACAGTCCAAACCCCCAGAGCTCTCATGGTCCCTTGTTACCAGCGAGGGATTGTCAGCATTATCACAGTTAATTTCTTTGATGTGTCCTGTCCTGCAACTGAGGAGGTAGCTTCATGGGTCAAGGAACAGCAGCTGTTTTGGCTGTTCATGGACATAGATTAGTGACCTAGGAGAAAAAAAAAAAAAAACAAACAAACTGCTTTACCCAAAAATACGTGCTGTGGGAACAGGTTTTCTCATACTACTTTGCATTAGTTGTAGCAGCTTGTAGCTTGCCATCTTCTTGTGCCTACAGTTGACGATTTGATTACAGTGTTAGCATATATGAGATATTTTGTGTATAGTCCTGAATTTAACATCTACAACAAAAAAGTACAGTTTTGCAAAATTAAATTAAGCTAATGAGAACACTGGAGTTATCCTTCTGGGAAAATAAACAAAACAAAAAACACAACAAAACAAAACTAGTTCAAGATCATGGTTGTATCTCAGTTTCCTTTCAGCAGCTGATTGCATTCAGGCAAGGCTACACAAGGCTACAGTTTAAAAATATATTCATCTGATGCAATTAAAATTGCGTCCAGTGTTAGTACACGTTGGCTAAGAAATGGTTTGTAAGTTGAACAAATGTCTGCCTCTGCTTTAACAACTGATCTAAATGACTGTGCTTAGGAAAGGTTATTCATGGGCAGATAATCAATGCTTTGGTATGCTTACTTTCAAACAAAGAAGTCTGTTTGTATTTTTCATTAAAAATTCTGACTTTTACATACCAAATAATATCCATTAAGCTGTATTAACAGAGTAATTAAACATGGCAGTCATGTGTTACAGTAGATTCCTATTTAAGCACCTGATTTACAAGAGTCATTAGCAAACCCATCTGGCTGGAGACCTTGCCAGATTAAGAGTTCTGAACAACAACTTGGGCAATTTGTCTGTGAATGTGTTTCTATGAGGATTGGTTTGCCCACTTGGAAAAGCCATGCTGACCGAAATGGGCTTGGGAATAAGCTTGTTCTGAAGGGTTGCTCTTAGGTTTGTATAAGAGTTTACAGTCCAATATTCATTTTAGCTCTATATCTCTCAGTTATTGAAAACAAGCATTATCATAACTACGTGCACGAAAAGGATTTTCAGTAGTCATCTGTCTTATTTTCCCTTCCAGTGAAAAAATGTTTTGTTTCTGTAAGTGACAGAAAACTTTATGTACAAAATTCTTATTCCCCATGCTGACAAAAGCAGTTGTGTCAGGGGCATATAGGTCTTCCTTAAGTAACTTTCACCTTGGGAAAAGTTTTTTTTTTTATTTTTTTGTTTTGTTATTGTTTTGGCATAGGTAAAGGACATTTAATTGGACATTTTAATTACCTGATTTTTAAGAATAATCTTCTGAGATGTTTTGCTAACAAAAATGCCATTGTAAACACACAGAGACACAGGCTGAGTCTACATAAGCAACTAGTGTGGAGCAGTAGGAAAATTTAGAATGTTGCTAGTCCAGGTTTTGGGAGTGGGAGGAGTTCTTTCAGGCTCTTTCTTGTTCGTGACTGGACACCTCTTAGTATCTGAAATCATGTTAGATGTGCTCTGGCTTATCTTCTTCTTGAAACTCTGTGCTCCGTATGAACCAATCTAGAGTAAGTAGGGATGAGTGGGTAGTTCACTTGAAAGATATGTTTGTGATTTGAATTAAAACAGTAATGTGGAAGTGTTTTAAATGTCAACAAACTCTTCCCAGCACAACAGGCCATGCTGTGGAATACTGAGATGCAGAAATCAAACATTGGATCCACTGTGGGTGTTTACTTCTGTAAAAGGGACAAGCACAAATCATGGCAAAATTACAAAATGCAGTGCTTCTGTCTTAAAGGTGGCAACCTAATTTATATGTAGATCTTTATTATGGGGATCCTTACCGAAACATTTCTCACAGATTTAATGTCTAAGCAATACAGCTTGGTTATACTGAACCCAAATTTAAGGTATTAGAAGCTCACTCCTTTTCTTCTTTGATTCCTATTTTGAAACTGATGAAAATGTGTGACTATTTGAGTGACCAAAGCTGTTACTAACAGAGTAGCTAAGTGACCCTAGGGTTGTCCAGTAGTAAATCTTAGTCTAGCCATCTGATGTTCTTGTTACTACTAGCACTAGTCTCACTTTCAGCTTGGACGTAACTTTGATAGATAATATTTTCTGAAGATTTTTTTTCTGTGGAAACCTGAGATATCTGCCTTCTAATACCTGTCTTTTCTGCCTCATACATAGACATTTTATCCATGATGATGAAGGTTCCTTTCACAAACCCAAGACATAGTGTTTCTTTTCAACAAGAAATGTTTCTCGTGTGTGTAAGAGCAGTGCTTCAGGAAGTATTCTAGCAGCACTAGTGCAACTTTAAGCTGCTTGTGCTCAAGGTTGACAATCTTCTGCCACACAGCTCACAGGTTCTTGGTCTTCCCTTCCTTTGCTAAGAGCTGAGTTTCTGAGTAGGGTTTTTCGTAAAAATAAGCACAAAACAAAAAGCTCCCAGTTTGGGGTTTTTTTTAAAGGTACAAATGTCCGATTTTGTTCTTTTCTTCTGTCAGGAAGCTTGCAAAGGAACTTCAGGGTGGCTCAGCACTTGAACAATTCAAAGCCTATTTGCTGAAATGCTTGTGTATGACATGGGGATCTTAAATGTAAGCACTACTGAATATAAAAACTTGTTCAGCATGTCAGTCTGCATACAGGCCAGAGGCAACCTTGCTTCCAATGAGAGAAATGCCGTTCCATCAATTCCAGTCCACGCTGGCTTGGTCAATGAGGAATGCCATTCAAAGGAGAACAATAGGCTCGTTCCTGTGTGTTTTAATGTCACATCGCCAACAGAAGCGGTGTATCATGTAGCAGGGAAAGCTCCAAATGGTACCATTAAATTGGAATGTGCTTTGTGGGCTTGGTGGCTAATTTCTTTGAAAATATCAGCAAATGTATTCAATTCCTCCAGTGTAAATCAGGTTTAATATAATTGAAATTACTGAAGAGAGTAAAACTGGGAAAACTAATCAGTCTCTGTGTGGAATGGTAAATTACATCCAGACCATATTTAAAAATGAGGTCAAGTGATTAGACCAAAAACAGGATATGAAAATAAAATTCAAGTCTGTCTTTATTAACCATGACCTCAGTAGTTCACAGTTTTTTGGCTCATTGATTTCTAATGTTAATGTGGTTTAAACTTCTTACTAAGCTCTGAAGAATGTTCTTTCAATAGAACCATATCTGTTAAATGAGTCATTTGCTCTTTAAAACCAGATAGCTTCACAGCACAGCATGCAGTAAGCCCTCTCATGTCTCATCAATTGTCCAGCAAGATTGTTGATATTTATAGAGAGAAACTTTAAAGGGATGCTGACAGGAGAGTTTCATCATCTGTAAGTAGCCTTATTAACGTTCATGCATAAAATCCTCTTCGATTCTTGAAGTGTGGGTTCTTGCTAAGACTGTGTGTTGGTACCTTCCCTCTTAGTCTGTCCTAGTTTGATTTTGCAGAGCAACAGAATTGTTCAGCTGCTGTGGGGGTTTTTTTTATTATTATTTTAGAAACCAAACATGAAATACAAGAGACTCTGAAAGAAACCTAAGGAGAGGAAGTGAAATCAATCTTCAGACCAGCATGGATGAGCATCCTTTTAAATTGTCATAGAGATGTTTTAGTAATCCTCTTAGAGAGAAAAAGAGAGAAATAACCAGGCTTGCATATTTAACAGACCAGTGTATAATTCCTGAATGCACCACAGGTTCTCTGTCAAGCCATGCAGACAGCAAACCACATTGCAATGAATGGCTAACAATGTGGTAGCAATGATTTGTCCATGTTTTACAAGAAGTGTAACAAATTCCCTCCGTAAAAATCACTATTTTTCATGTCTAGGAAAGGTCTCAGAAATACCCAAGATGCCTTTTTTTTTAAGTGATGTGGAAATGCTCTCTTATTGTTAATGATATGAAGCCCTTAG